TCGGAACGGCGGCCTGGATGAGCAGACCGATGGCAGTCGTGCCTTCTTCTTCTGATTACCGTCCATCCCCCGTTGGCTTGCATGCTTCCCTCTCAGCGGTATCCACGTGTGTAGGCGCGGGGCTCGGCAGGACGACGATGGCCTATCTGGTGGCTATCTCAAAGCAGCTCAGCTCAACTCAGGCTAACAACTCACACTTTCCCCCACGATTCTCCGCAGCGCCCCTTCTTCTCTCCTCCCCTCAAAATGCGAACGCACACTCCTACAAGCGCCAAAGTGTCGGCCTAAGCACAGTAAATCTGTGAGCTTCACTAGTGGTGGAGATAGTGAGATAGCAGTAGCGCGTACGCACTCACTAGCTATCTCGTCGTCGTCGTCGTCGTCGTCGTCGTCGTCGTCGTCGTCGTCGTCGTCGTCGTCGTCGTCGTCGTCGTCGCCGTCGCCGTCGCCGTCGTCGTCGTCGTCGTCGTCGTCGTCGTCGTCGTCGTCGTCGTCGTCGTCGTCGTCGTCGTCGCCGCAGCGTTTGCTCGCTGCCGGATGGTAAATCAATACAGCGCTGCTGCAGCATCGAAGAAAGCCAAGCTGATCAGCACAAGGGAAGAGTAGAATGGAATCGAATGAAACGCCGATCGAGAATGGGAGACTAGCGGTCGGTCATACAAACGGCGTGGGTGCGATGGATGACGCCGACCTGCCAGCTATCTCCGCGATCACTACCACCACCATCATTCACAAATCGCGGATCACGGAATGCGCAACCGAGACCATCTAATCCTGGGTTGGGCGAGTTGTACTGCTCCCAGGTAGAGTAGCTGTAGTAGTTGTTACTTGCCTTAGCATAAGAACTCTAGCCTTCTACCTTGGTGGTCCATATGGCTGAACAACCTTAGCAGACAGACTTCGCGTTACAATGGGAATGGGTACGCATATATAAAAATGGAATGCCTGTTCAAACGACAGATGCCGATTAAAATGACGACTTTCTTCGAGTTAGAGGTGCAGCATCCCAGAATGTTACAACTTGGCCAAAATATATGTTGTTTTTGGGAATTCGCCCACCGAATAAATATCGATATGCTCCATTGTTAACTAGCGTTTCTTAGCTGACATAGCGGTCGACTGCATATTCAAGAGTCGTTGAACTACGCTAAGCTAAAACTGAAATGCGTATGTGTCTAGAGGCTGTGTGAGCTCGCTTCATCTCGCCCTTTATCAGCTGCATAGTGGGGTCACTCGTTGCTAATAAAGGCCAAAACGACGTGTGAAACCCAAGCTAGTTGCGTTGCCTAACGGCCAACTCTGTTCATAGTCAAGCGTTGACAGTCCCCATCTCTCCGACCTAAGCACCTCGAGTGTACCCGTATTTCTGTTTCCGCAGAGACTGCAAGACTTTTCTTCAGCCCTCCCCTGCACCTGCCGTGCCCACGAGGGCATTCAAGGAAGAAGGCCGTTGGTTCTGCAGCCGCCACAACCCCCGCCGCCTCTGCTGCGGCCGTCAGTGCCACCGCTAGTGGCTGCTCAGACGTCAGCCCCGTTTGCCAGCCTGCGTCATCTGCTGTGTGTCGTTCTGCTGCTGTTCCTGCTTGTGCACTGCATTGCAGCAGCAGAAATCGTCCCACAGCTCGTCCGTCGCCGTTCCCATTCGCGTCGAGGTTTCCTGCTTCTGCTGTTTCTCGCGTCCGATGTCTATCTCTCACTTCCTCTGTTCGTCTCGTTCTGCTACTCTCTTCGTCGTTGTCGACACTACCACCGCGATGCCTTTCTGAGCTACGGTGCCACGGCTGCTGCTACCACCGCTTCCCTCTTGGTTCGCTCGACTCGGCTCGGTTCTTGGCCCCGTTCTCTTCTTCCGTTCTTTCTTTTGCTCCGTTCCCATCTACCGTTGCCCTCGCCCCTCTACACTTCCCCATGCCCCGAATTTTGTGGGCTCCCGTCGTCGCCACTGGTTCAGCTCCCCCGAGTCGTTTCTCTTGCAGCAGCGTTTGTCTCTTTCTGCGGCCCCTCGTTCCTGTCGAGTGGCCTCAGCCGCGGAGATAGCTAGTCGCCGCCGCTGCCACTGCTACTGCTTCCATCGCCTCGGCTGCCACTCTTCGCTGCGCTCGGTGCCAGTCCTCTTCTTCCTTACTGTGCTGCTCTTGCCTTTTCACTCTCTCCATCCGTTCTTCCCTCATCTTCGCAGCTGCTCGGTCTCTGTTCTGTTCGAGGCGCTCAGCTCATCCTAGTGCTTCAACCTCCCGTCCACAGCGTTGCTTTCCCCTGCGTCTCACCAGTACTGGTGGCAGCAGGAACAGCCTCAGCGGCAGCAGCAGAGCATTACCGCCATTGCCGTTACCCCCACTTCTCTTAGTGGCGCCAGCGGAGGCAGCACCCCTCGTCTTCTCCTTAGCTTCTTCTCGTACAGCTCGATCCTTCGACTCAGCTGCTACGCTCTGACCTGCGGCTACGGCTCGCTTCGTCTCGGTACAGCTTGCCTCGCTTGCAGTTGGATAGGCGAGCTATCCAGCAGTACTGCTCCTGCCAGAGTGTGCGAAGTGTGTGTCCACAGGTGGCTGATAAATCGCATCGATCCCCTTTACCCACCCACCCAGCAAGTCATCCAGCCTACCAGGCAGCCACTCCACTCTATGGTGCGCAAAGAACGATCTCTTTCGATGGCTCCACTCGCTTCCATCTAGACCACTCTGCTGCTGCCTCCTCAGCTCTCTACTACCGCCAGCGTTACCTCCGCTGCAGCTGCTACTGCTCCACTTGCACTTATACTCGCCCACTCTGTTCGTCCGTCCGTTCGCCCGCCAGCCGACGACTACTTGCCTGCCTCGCTGGCAGGCTCTGTCCGCTCCGCTCGCCGCCTAAGCACTGTATACCCCCCCCCCCCCCCAAGCGGTCGCTAGCAGCGATGGCAGACACACGCATGCCACTCGGTTGGTTGGTCGGGCGCTCAGTGGCGAGCTCTTTGCTGCGCTCTTTTTCTCTCTCTTAGCCTCAAAGAGCTAACAGCGACCCCGCACAGCAGCCGGCCAGCCGGCACACCTCCGCGAGCTCTTCGGGAGCAAAGCCTAGGCCTGGACGCACCCGGGGAGACAGCTAGAGGTAGACACTGGCAGGCTCAACGCACAGACGAGAAGTTGTGTCGAGTGCCGATCATCGGGGCGGGATGTGGGAAACTGGAGGTCGGCGGCGGCGTCGGCAGGGGAAGGGGGGCTTGAGGGGAGGCCACTAAGGGCAGAGCTGGCGTAGCGAACCGTGGTTTGTCGAGGGCATAGCCACCTTTTCGGGGGGAGGGGAAATGGAGGGGAAGGCTTTGTCAAGTGGTCTGTGGGCGGGTGACTTTTAGCTCAGCCTTCAGCAGGGCTCCTTTCTCCCTTTTGCGTCGTGCCTTCCTTTGCCTCTGCTACAAGCTCTAGATCCGCCATTCGGCTGTCAAGGGCGCCATGGGGAGTAGGCCGTAGAGGGCCTCCTGGGGCGCTCGTCGAATGACCAGGGGTGATGGCAGCAGTGGTGGAAGACTCTACTAGTGCGGCCGGCTGGTCGGTTGGCTCGGTATCTGGCCAGCCGATGCTGGCTGAGCCTGACCGGTCAGACCAAGTCACTCACCCGCTGTCGCTTGCCCCTCTGTGACTCTTTCGCTTTTTCTCTCTCTCCTCCTCGAGTCTCCTGACCGATGACCGGACAGGCAGTGGCCGATTGAGGCAGGCTGACTACTGGCGCACTGGCTGGTTGCCTGCCTGGCCCTGAGGGACTCCGTCGATGACCACACTTGACACGGCCTTCCTCAGCAGCCCTCCCACACGCTCACCCTTGTCCGCATTGAAACGGCACAGTCACACGCAGCCGACAACTGACACCGATCTCGGCAGCTGGCAAGGATGACCGGCTTGCTGTCTGCCTTTTGGCTGTATGTCCTTCTTCTCCTTTGGCAGCCGCATCCTCTTGGTCGACGATCAAGTCTGATCCATGGTACGAGGTAGCTCAACCAAGAGTGACGGAATGGGGGAGTCTGGTCATGGGGGAGCCTAGTCGTGGGGTAGCCGACCGATGGACGGACGGACAGAGAGTTTCCCCCAAGCAGACTTTTAGGCACTCTTCGTTTGACGGGAGACTGTTACCTTTACTCAGTAGTCACTTTGGCTCGGCTTCCGCCTCGTATTGGTTGTAACGTACCTATGGCTCCTAGTTGAAGATACGGCCGTAAGACCGTAGTTGGCTGTCCGTACCACCTTCAGTTGGGCCTCCTAGGCCTTTCTGGCGTCTTCAGCGTTTGCCGCTGCTGCATTCTGTTGGTTGTGGTCGAAGTGACAGCAACCACAGTAGAGCTAGTAATAGTAGCGGTAGCGGTGTGAGTGCTGTTAGCTAGCGTCGTTGGCTTGTGATAGCCGATGATATCTTACGACTGTACGATCAGTGGGGTCAACAAGCGGGGAGCGAATAGGAAAGGAGGGCGCTCGCTGCGAAGGGGCGTGATGAATTATAAACGATGTTGCAACGCGGCTACAAGGACGGGATGGGACGGAAAGGGGATACGGAGTGCATGCAGTGGTAAGGCGATAACCGACTGACGCTTCGTAGTTGCCGAAGAGGGGGCCATGGCAGACGTGTCGTCGTCGTCGTCGTCGTACCTTTCTTCGCGACCGGAAAGCGAAGGCCTTCCCCTGGTGATGTTGGCTCTGCTGCCGATATTGCTGCTACTGATTATTGTCGATGATTTGCCTTAGACTAGTCGCTATTTCATAGGCGGGCAGGCAGGCGATGGAGGAAGTTCAGAAACTAAAGACGTTAAGATCAGAAAAGGAGTCGAGCAAGTTATATTGCAGGAACTTTAAGTATGCGAGAGATATAAAAGGCTATATCTAGCAAATTATTATAATTTGTAAAATATGACAAAGTTAGGAACCTTTGACGTTCCATTTGAAATTTTAAAAAAAATTTAACACGAGCTCTATGCTTGTTATAATATTCTTTATTTATTTTGTTACTGTTTTCCCCTAATCTGGCTTTTGCAGGAAATGGTGAATTTCTGCCTGGACCGATGCGGTGAAGTGCACGTGAACCAACGTGGCCGTAGTCAGGCGACAGCCTTACATGAGGCAGCTTCGAAAGGTTTCGTGGCAGGGACGAGGGCACTCTTGGAGAGAGGCGCTGACCCCGAAGCAGAGACCCCTCAGGGGGTACGGCCCCTGCACGAGGCCGCTGCTAAAGGCCACATTGAGGTAAGTCTGTGTGCCTGCCTGCCTTCCGCACAGTCGCATAGTAATGCCTTTTACTCTACCCTATATAGCCTGCCGGGCATAGGCTACTGCCTACTAGCCGTCGAGGGTCTCTGATGTTGAGCGAGTTAGTATAGGTCTACGAGCAACCGAGTGGCAATACGCAGGCGCGAAGGATCTAAGCCGTAAGCCTGATGGGAGCGAACTGTGCAAGGCTGAATGGGGAACTGTCTAGCGAAAGTAGGGAACTGCTAGCCAGCTGGATGAAGGCCGGGATATAGAAGCCAGGCGAGTCGAGCGAGGTGAGCGCGCCTAGTGGCTTCGCTTAACGAGTGCCTTACCACTACTACTAGCACCAGCAAGGACCATCGTCGAGATGCGATGATTCTCCTTGCTTTTTCGCTCAACTCAGCGAGCGCAGCTTGCCGGTTGCGAGCTGCGGTGGGGAGAGAAAAGGCCACGGAGGGACGGGTAGAGCGGGACGTGGGCTTGCGGGGGGAGGGGGGAGTCATGGCGGAGACTAGCGAGACGAACGAAAAGGGATCTGGCCCGAGGCACTCCATTCTGCAGCCTTGGTGGCATTGCCCAAGCTGAGCAAAAAAGCCCCAAAGCTCGGTGAACATGGGAGCGGCGTAGAATGAGCGGATGCGTACAGTGGGTGTATGTGTGTGTATATGCACGTGATGGTTGGATTGGTCTGGGAAGAGTGGCGATGCCAGACATGGCTGGCTTGCTGGCAGGCAGACAAACAAGCCAGTCAGTATAACATAGCTTTAGCCTGAGCAAACTGACCAAGTGCAACTCCTTGTCACTGAAAGAAGAAGGAAGGCGGCGGTGCATAAAAGGTTCTGAAACTCGTGAGCAGGAGAACAGCAAGCCATGCACGGCTCTGAATACAGACGGATTACCTGTGTGGACGCAAACACAGGACGGTCGTCGGCCCGCTTATTCTTGAACGTTCCCGAGTCATGTCAAGGCATGTTGCATAGATTTCGTTGTTGATCATGGGAAGATGCGATCAAGGAATATAATGCAGAAGTGGGCTTTCTTTAGAATCACAACCCAGTTTTTTCAAAATCTTATGTCACAAACCAGTCACAATTTCAGCTTAGTTACGACTCCAAAAGATGTATAATGTTCAGAGCTAGACCTTTTGATAAAGATTTTTGCTAGTAGCTCGGGCAGAAATTGGTTTACTTAATATTGATAACTACAGCGGCCGACTACATCTAGAAAATAAAAATGAAGTTATGCGGTTGAATCAAAAGCCAATCCATTACGTCTCATAAATCGTATGGCATGTTCTTGTTAATGTTTTGATATTGAGAAATACGGGGAAGAGATTAACACCTAAATTCATAGACTTTAAATAGGACCAACACCGTTTACAGGTTATAAGGCTGCTCCTGTCGTTTGGAGCTCAAGTGGACGCTAAGACGTTGTCAGGCGATACAGCGGCAAGCATCGCTAACATGTTCGATTTTCAAACTCTACGAACATTTTTAGAAGATTTTGCTGAGGACAACAAATTTATCGATGATGAGGCTGCTGAAAAAGGAGAAGTGCGCGATCGAAAACCGTGGACATTTAGGGGCACTTCGTCATGTCTTGGTACGTTACCAGCTGTTTTCTTTTGGTCAGTCTGAATATAGAATGACTTGATGGTATGACGCTCGTAAGATGAGTATTCCAGGCAACAAAAGTATTTACAGCCGTTTTCGCTATGAACGCACGTGTGTGCCAAGGTAGACTTTCACAAACCCATTATTAGTTTATTATTATTCATTTGTATACCTACGATATCTAAATCATCTACATCAGTAGCAACTGCAACAGTAGCTTTCGATGATCATACGTTTTTGCTAATGCCTGGCGGGTACGAATGCTAAGTACGTTGAATTTTTGCTTTGAATCGTTTTGTGTTATGCGCCATAACACAGACCACAAGCTGGAATCGGGTTTTGACGTGTTGGCGGGTGCTCCCGAATGCTGCTTGCTTCCCGAAATCGCCATACGGACATTCCGTGTTCTACGATCTATTGGCGAAGACGGCGCGATGCAGTAAGTGCTTTTTGCTACTTCCTCATCTTAATAACACAACATCTTACAAGACAGGTCTCGCAATCCCATGCATATTTGCGTACAAGAGGGAACTCTGCTTAGCGACTACATTTGGGCATACCTACACATACACATCCCCTGTCATCTACCCACACTTACTACCCCCAGAAGACATCCAGCAAAAAGAAATCGTGCGCAAAGATGGGGGAATGGTGATACGGGTGGCGATGGTGTTTAGCATTTCTCTGCCCGTGGCAGCGTAGGCGGCTACCACGACGAACACTTCGAACTACACTAGCGAACGAAATTCTTGGTGACGATGATGAGCCGCTGATCCGTGCACCTACAAGTGAAGGCAGAAACGAAAAAAAGTGGCAACGGTCCCCATAAAAAGCTAAAGAAGGTTATTTTGGCGCCTTTCTGTTGAGCATTTTCGCTTTGCAGGATTCCCTTAACTTTGAGCCCCATTTCTTAAAGTTGTTCCCTCGCAGTTAACAGCTTTAGGCTGCTTTCGAAATGCCCTAAACGGCCAAGACGTGGTAAGCAATTTTGGCCAGGGGCGGGCTTCTCCATAAAACAGGTGCCTCATTTCTCTTAATATTTCGAAATCGGGTTCATGACACTTTCGTCGTCATGCTGACAAGTTTTCCATGTAAGTAGAAACCCATTTTTTACTATTCTCTACCGCAACCTTTCTTCATGGACAGAAAGTTCGAGCCGTGGCATGGTGGGTTTAAGCTATGGTTGGGTTTTTGATCGCAGCCCAGCAATTCAGGGGTGCTAGTGAAAGATTTAAGGCAGCACGCGCTATGGCAATCTCTCAACGAATTCAACCTTTCCTCCTAGGAAACTCCCCTTTCTCCATCCTTCCAACTCTCTGCTCCCCCTTACTCTGGCATACACAACCATTACAGAGCCTTGCTGCAGCTACTCCCAGTGTTGTTTCTCTAGTTCCATTTCTTTATACTGTCCCCACTGTCTATGTCTTGCCCCACTGTACGCAGCGGCTCTTTGTATTGTCTTCCCGTTTGTTCGATGCCCGAATTCCGTTTGCGGGATCCGGAACACACCGCAGCATCTCCGAATAAGCTATCAAGGAACGACAGAGAACGGCGTTTGGGCGTCTCAGTGGTTGTGTCTCTTGAAAGTGTTGCGGACCGCTGTTCAAACTGCATGTGGTTTTTCTTTGCGTGAATAGTTTACAGTCTGCCAGTTCTACCGTGTCGGAGTGTCTTCACTAGTGCACCTGCTGGCGTCCCAGCAATCCAATTGTTCAACAAGATCTTTGTAACAACACAGTTAATATGAGGTGCAGTTACCGATTACGGTCAAGTTATGAAAACGTATAATACAACGGAGGTTCATTCAAGTTCTCAACCATAAAAATGGATGGTTGTGGGCTTTTCGATAATGACTGGTGTGCTCTTTTGAATAGGCAACTGACGTCTAACCCATATTTTGGTTATCGTGTACGTGACCCAACTCACGAAAGTGGGCTTATCAGTGATCTCATATAGCCCTTAATGCTTGCTTATATACGAAAGCGAGAACTCAAGTAACTTTTTTTTTTAAATTTCCCTATTACAGGTCTCTAACGTGCGCGCACCTCGATGAGCTGATAGCTTCCACTGGGCTTACGGACGTAGGTGTCTTTCTACGCACAATCGGTGATGAAATCTCACAGCAAATCGTGTTTTCCGTCGACCGTACTATGGAAACGGACGCTTTCTCACGGTACTATGAACAGTTATCGACAGTGCGGGCCATTCGCTGGGACGAGGAGTCAAAGCGCCTTCTCAGCCAGGCTCTATCCCGTGGGCAGGATCAACAACAGCCAGCCAGCAGTACTGACAACACTTCAACATAATGTGATACAGAGAAGTAATAATAATACATAGAAAAACAACTCTCACGTTTGACTTTTTCGCCGATCCAAGATAAGAGACTAAAATAACTGGTTAACAATAATATAATTACGATGATTATTCAATGTGTATATGATATATGTCAACCGTACGGAGGGTCTAGGCCTGGGAGGCTTAAATGAGCATATGCCACCGATGAACCACACCTGGGTACAACAGGTAAATGAGGGTAAAAAAGAGACGTGAAATATCTGCTTAGTTAGAAGGTGGTGTTACAGGACAAGTATAGGACGAGCAATACCATGACATCGGCAAAAGTTAAGTTCTGTTAAGTTCTTGCCGTTCTTGCTTGTAAATAACTTTCTGATGCGAGGGTATGAACCGTGAGTGAGTCGAAATCGAGGTTGCTAGAGCAGAGTCTAGAAGATCCTCTAACCATCTGAGGCTACTATGAACTGGAGTGTGAAAAACCGAGGAATACATTAGTACAGATGTAAGTGAGCGCAAATACAAAAAAATCAAATCGAAATATTATCCCGTTTCTGACGTTTTAGATGTGAGGCTTAGGTTTCCTTTATTTTTTGCCTGTATATTATGTGCAACTACTTTGAATAGAAACATGAAGGTACGCGTTTGACAGGATGCGTTTATTCCTCCAGTGGACAAGTGAGAGACTTACAAGCTTTTCTTCATGTGGAGAAGGAGTCAAACACGCATCAACACATACATACACACATTGCTCGAAGAAAAACAAACTGATTTAAAAAGGACAGCCAGAAGTGCTAACGGTGAGGACTGGCTGAGCGGGTGGGCATTTTATTGGCTGGCTGGCTGGCTGGCTGGGGGGGCGCGGAAGCTCGACAATGCGGCGGCCATTACCGTAGCCGCTGATTATGCTGGGTTCTGTCGAGGATGCGTGGCCGAAGCCGATGAGCACGAGCGGCAGTGGCTGAAGGAAGTAATGCGACGGTTGCCTCCTAATTATAAATAGTTGTAGTAGCAAGTGTGAATCCAATGACGATGAGAAATGGCTAGTCGAACCGACCACCGGAGGATGTCAATAACGGAGATACTGCCGCTAACAAGGTCAACGAAGGCGGATGGAGGCTACAGGTAAATGAAGGGTGACACGGGAGACGCGACTCCAAACTATGGCGTACTAAGACTGAGTTGATAGAGGCTATTAACAAAAATACCTCTTCTGAAAACACATTTTAATGTACCTACCAATACCACTACTACAGCTTGCATTACCATTTTTAATAATTATACGACTGTTGCTATTGCATTACTAGCGGCAGTACTCAATGACCGCCTTCCGATGCACGGCCGAAAACGGCAAGATTCGAACATCTACATACAACAGCGTAGGGTGAGAGCATAGCGTTTCTCATCCATACACACGACAAAGAGACGGTGAGAAGAAAGAAATCAAAACACACATATATATATATATATATATATATATATATTACTATTGCAATTACTACATATAAGTATTGCTCTATTTCTGCTCTACTATGTATCTTCTTGCCCTCAGTCGCAGTATTCCCGGAGTGTGTCCCGCCTTCCTCCGGATGGTTTACAATAGTGATATAACGCATTGACGGTGATTAATTCTATTGTGATTTAAGCTGTACATTCGTGTATTATACTGTGTATAAAAAAACAACTAAATAAGAAACAAAGGGAAGAGAGAGAGAGAGAGAGAGATAGATAGATAGATAGATAGATAGAGAGAGAGAGAGAGGGAGAGAGAGAGAGAGAAATAAAAAAGAGCGCATAACAAAAGAGAACGAAAACTCTAGATGAAAAGAAGACGCTGATGATGATACAAAACTAAAGACACTAAAGGCTTAAATAATAAATGTACACGAACGATGTATACCATGAAGATACCAACGATTATTAATTGTCTCCTTCTTTCACTCATGATGCTCAATAGCTATTTCTAGGTTTTACATATTTAGATTAAGACATGTTGCTGTTAGGTTGATAAGTTCATATTAAACCAAACATAGTAGTCTAGGGATCTAAAAACAAGCTCTGTTTAGTAAAATGTGTGTTATCTAAACGAATTAGCGTGTTATTATCCAATTCAATTGCAGCTAAAAAAGATGCTACGTTCGCCCTGTATGACGCTAGCAACAGAAGATGTCTTATTTATTTGCTCTCTCATGCATACCCCTTATTAGAAGAAATACCTTTTGCCAAAGTTGTCCAATAGATATTTATCATTACTACATTTATTATGGTTACTGTACTATAATAATTAATAATAATTATAATAACATTCAAGCAAAAGTGGATCACAGATCGGTGGCCATAGGTTATTCGCACAATTCGAACAATATAACGATTTCTAGCCCTTTTTTTTTCTAATAAAAACCCTGTTTGACACTTATCGTACCCACTTCCTGTACAATTAATTTTAAGATTTTGTAAACGTAATACATTTACTAGAGAATTAAAATTAGGTGAAGTTATTATTGCTGCTCGCCTACATAAAGCTTACACTTTAAAACCTAATTAAGGATTTCCATTAAGCTTTTTGATTCTTATGTGAATAGCTAATATTTACAGTTTATATATATAAATGCCTAGTTTTCATTATTGTATTGTTTTATTTCTTGCATTGCTTTCAAATCAAATTTTTTTTCTGAATTTTTCTCATGATTTGGAAGTTATACATGCTTACGACAGTTGAAAAAACACACTGCATGACTAGGATTTCATTGTTGGGTATGTATTGAAAAAACTGAATGTTGATATATGCATAGAAACTCAGGAAGTACCATTCAAATGCTTCGATACTCCGCACTTAATGGGCAGCTTCGCGAGGTGTTCCAGATGAGTGAAACCACTAAGCGAACATCAAATGATAATGACTACGTTGAGAGTTCCAGTGCTCTATAATGTACCCGCTTTTTCCGAAGGTTGTATCGAAGCGCAGAGAATTGGAGTTCGAAGATGTAACTTTTGCACTAGAGGCATAGCATTATATAGTTTTTATAACTTAAGCTCAGGCCACCAAGATATTTTTTGTGGCTCTTCTTTTTGAGCCATTTTACTGCGAATAGCCCAGCGTAGTGCTTTTCGTGGTTTCGCACCTGGCTCCGGAAATTTATCCCAGAATTGTCGATACTGTTGATATCGCACTTGCGGTGAACAACGAGGCTTCGTAGGCGCCCACACATTTCGAGGTCGACTGGAAATTGAACATATTGGTTTTGCACAGGTAACTTATATAATACATTATAGGTAAATGAAGTATAGAACTTCTTTTACACACATTCATTCGCTACAACTGGCATCGAAAGGGAACCAATTCTTCCTAAAATAGAACAACAGTCATAGGGAAATATAGTATGCCATTCTCAGTATTTGAGTGAAGATGAGCTATTGTCCAGTTTCTTTGTGTTGGATTAACAGCTTGGAAAAATTAACAGCTTTCTTTTCCCGGAATTCACGGTTTTCGTTATTGCATGTTTTTAAGCAATTTCTCAAGCATCCTCAAATATTTTTACCAGGCCAGTTTTATACATCTGGATTTTTTGCGCATAAATTAACAACGTCTTAAAAAGGATATGAATTATCAATTACGTCATTCAGGTAAGAACCAACACTAGTTGTTGGATCTTTTTGCACATGTTGAACTTTTGGCTATTTTGAGCCCCTACATTTTGGGTTTTTCAAGCTGCTATTAGCCCATAATTTAATTTCACTGGAGTTATTTCTGTATAGAGTATTTAAACGATGTTTGTGCACGCTTGTTAAAGTAGAAGCGAAACTGTTTATCTTAAGATGCTCCTCAAAGATCCGCTTACGGCATCTTCTTAGATAAGAGCACAATGTTTTGCCCTTGGTTAGTATAGAACAATGCGATTTACAAAAGACTTACGTTGATAGACTATCGATAAGATCGAGCTGAGAGCTGCAAATGCGTCGCACAAATTGCTCAATCGTCTCATGTCCTGCCGCTGCAGTCCGATTCTCTGTCAAAGTTAACCATTTTTTCTTGTGACCTGTTCTAGGCCTCAAGTTTCCGTTTGTTGCTGCAGTTAGCCTCTGAGTGGTAAAATCGCTATTTGTAAAAGGTTGTGGCAGCTCCGGATTTGACTCTATCAGCTCATCAACGATTAGAGGAGACCGACAATATCCAGATAAAATTTGAATGTTCTTATCACTCAGGTCTTCGCGAGATAACAAATTCTCTAAGGGAAAGTCGGAATCTGAAAAATATGTTAAGCAACACGGTCCTGTTAATTTATGTGTAACAAAGATCACTGCTACATTTCACAAACGAAGCGACAGTGTGAACTACATATACGAATGTATGGCTGGAAGCCTCTTTCTGATAAAACTATGACACTTCAGAATCAATCCCACACTCGTTTACAATAACCTAATAAAACATCATAGAGGATATGAGCGTACGTTATACCTAAGCAGGAAGGCACGCACCGGAATTTTCCGTCGAAGACTCAAAATCAGAACGTATCGTGGGTATTTCCTCCACAGGTGTAGCAGAAGACGCTAGCTTGTCGGAAATCGGAATTTTCAAGTAAGATGAAATACTTAGATCAAGGTTTGAGGAGTTTTTTTCATAATTTAGGTACGGTGCAACATCGTCTTCGGTACTATTACAGCTGAAATCAACAAAAAGTAATTCAATAGATTCGACGTCCTACATGACTCAAAAAAATTATCTTTGCGTACTTATATAACAAAAATTAAAAGGTCCCTACACTGTAATCGAAGCTGGTCACCGCCGTTACAGACACTGTATTTCTTAATTTCATGGCGGTAGTTCGAACTGCAAGTCACTTAACGCTGGAATGATTCGGTTCATAGTCCAGACTTATGTTCTACCGTAGCAATCACATCAAGACCTGATTGTGAATAGAAATCGTTGTTTTAAATTTTAATGTTACCTTGAGTTTTTCGAGTCACATTTCGATGGTTGATAACAGGACGCTTGTTTGAGCTTATCTTTAAACGAACAAAACGATTTATCGTCCTGGATGATGTGTTTTTTTTGAAGCTCCTTGAGGATCTCCTTGTCTGAGACTCCTAGAAGAGCATCTTCAAGATCCGAAATGGCCTTTTGTAGTCGGTCCTCAAATCCACGCAATGCATTTTCGTCTTCCTCTACCATTTCTTTTTAAATATATATACAATTAGAAGCATACACTTAATTAGAATATGACTGGCGCAGTCGTTGTACTAGCCAATACTAGAGATTCTGTCGAATGTGACTGATATGCGATACCCTTATATGCCTTCCATCGAAGTTGGTTTCCGGGGTTCCATTATGCGTTGAACAAATGCGCTTTATAAATTCTAGAAATGTCTGTCGGTACTCTTTTCTAATTTCGTGAGCCTAATAATGTTTTTAACAACAGCTGTAGAAATAATTCAGATATCATGATTTTTATGTTTCTCAATTTTTGTCATTTACTCAATAGCCAATAGATCATACCCGATATTAGAGTTTTAGAATCTGATTTTTGGATGTTCGTATTCAGTTTTTTAACGCGTACTTCACTTATAAAATTGAAAAGTCAACTACGTTTCAGCACTATTGTCATCCCCACAACGTAAAATGTACGTAAAAACATTGTTGAAGTACAAATACGCAATTTACCACTGCGTGCTGCAGTTACAATAATATCTTGAGCTCGATAGTGAAGATTGCTAATAATTTAGCGTTGCTGTTATTACTTAGCGACTTATGATTGCGTTTGGTGGTTATTTATTGTTTATATAGTGAGACCTCAAACTGAAAACGATGCTTCTTTGCCTATAGCACAGGAACTTTCCAGATTCGAACTCACTCCAGCTTGTTGGGCTGTAGTGTGCACAAGTCAAAACCCACTCTTATCGTACATACTCTCTGGTAGTTATCAGCCACCGCTTCCTGTAAATGTCCACTGCACTAGGTCAATTGCTTTATTATGCTGTACCACTTGTCATTATTCACAGTGACAGACACCCTTGCCATGGTCAGCTGTGGAACGAAAACTAAAACTGCCCTGTTTAAGATGATTGTGATTTTTGCTGCTCACTCCGATCTCAAACCTAACGCGGTCTGCGAATCCCTTGAGAAAGACAAGAAGCTTCCATTATTTAAAGACAGTCTGGGATATACATTTCGAAGCAGGCCTCCACGTAGTTTCACAATATTTAGAGCTTTTAATCTAAACAATTTAATTTTTGGTTAGAAGAAATTTGCAGTAAATGGCAGCCCTTAAGTTCAGTTATTTTTCGTATATATTCTCTCTATTTTTGGACCCTACAATATGAGCTGAAAAATGTATTATTACCTGCCGCTATTGGTGGAGAAGGTTCTTTATATACTAAAAAGGCTATTTGTTTTTATAGGAAATTTTGCATGAAGTTAATAATATAATAATAAAAAAATTCTGATTTTCAAAACATGAGTCGCCATCACCAGATACAGCATTGTGGAACACTACTGCACAATTCCATATCTTTTTGCTATATTTTTTGATAATGTTTTCAGAGGAAATTTCTTTCTTCTTCCTAGAAATTTTTCTGAAAAAATGATAAAAGCTTGATATCAATGTTTCACTTAACATGAATCAAAGTTTGAAAAACAGGGCGACTGAACTATATCAATACAACTTTTTCTGAACGATTAAATAATTTCATATAACTGGACAACATTATATTACTAATTGTACGAGGTAATTAAGAAAATATTTATACAATACTTAACTATTCGGGAGGTCGAATGCAACAGGTAAACAACACGTAATGCCGGCAGATGCTACTTCCATGACTTGCACACTAGATTGCGTTTGGTCGTCCCAAGGTAGCGGAATCTGTAAAATTTTTACGCTTGTCAAATGCAGCATGGATGTTCAAAAGAGCGGTTTCAGACTAATATTTACGGCTCCAACTCGGATCCTTCGAATCGCAGCATAAACGCTATCTTAGCAACAACCAACACACACATACACAGAGTACAACTTTTTACAAAAGCAACTAAAACTAAGCCGTTTTATGTTTTAACGTTCTTGACTATTATTACGATGTTTTTTCTCCTTCCTTTCCTGTACAACATCATGGACCTGTTCTTGCTAAATGGTATTTAGACTAACATTTACTATTGTTAATAAGTGCTGTTCTCATTATAATTCGCGTAATTTTTCTGCTATCTTCTATTTACAAGAACTAAGATGTTTGCTCTAAGAGCAGGCAATCCTTTTTAAAGATAAAGCCACGTATCATAATTATCTGTGTAGATAATGGAAGCAGTCAAATAACCCTACTGAAGATCGCTGCAAATGCGTATTGGAAGACAAATGAAAGCTATGCTAGTGAATACTCGGTCATTATATTAATATAATAAATAGTTTTTTATTTCCATGTAAAATTTCTTACAACGCTTTTCTAATTACCTAATGTCTTTAAAAGAAATTTTTTTGTATATATTATAGTAAATAATAGGTAACATACAATGGCAATAAAATACGTGTGTTCTGCTTTCATCGCCTACAGGGAGCATATTTTTATTTTATCTCTTCTAAATTTTATAGGTCCGCGTTTGATGCTGAGGTTGATCACACCCTCCGACAGACATGAACGTGTATTATTCTAACTTATCTGTAGTTGGAGTGAATATAATCCATGTCACTTGGTCCAATACAGTATTTGTAACCTCCTAATCGGCGGTTTTGCGGTCGCTAAGGGCGGCGATATGGTATATAAATATTTATTTATATATAAAAGAAAATTGCGCTGGTATAACTACGCCATCGCATACTACGTGAGCTGAAATTTCTTTGTCGAACAGAGATACGTTTATTTTTGTGTTGCATTGCTTTTACGCTGACATGATTATTTGGTCATTACTGTCCGACATGTCATCGCAAAACCATGCACACCAAAGTAATATACGTGCTCGTCCATCAGGTCTTTAGGTAGGCAGCTACCGATTTATACATTACAGATACCCTTCATAACATCTATCGCTGTTCCTCAATCATTTGCACGAGGCTTTGTCGCGCCCTCCGATTAACATGACTCATGGAGTTAACGAGGCCAAGCAGCTGTTTTTTTGAGTAGAAGGGTCCGTTTGTCACAAGCCATTCTTCTAGAGGACGGTCAATTAGGTAGTACGCTCTCACGAGAGCCTCTACCTGCGTCTGGTCAGGAACTGGTTTTAGCTTGACTCGCATACGTTCCACCTGCATTAAACATCAGTAATTCAAAATGCAGATTGGTTGCTTGCAGAGTTATTGCTGAGAACTTACGAGTAAACCATTATCTGCCAGCGACTTACATTGATACCGTACTACCGTTTTGGATAACTAAAGCTATCGAAGAAACGACGCCGTATGCTTCACTCGCAAATTCAGTGAGAAAATCTGAGACACTATTAGGAAAAAGCAAAGGCGTTTAGAAAAGATATATAGTATACAAAATTCGCACATGGAGTCTTAGAAGGAAACGCAAGGTTCTAATCGTTGTTTTAATATCGCAAAATGCGATACTTAAACATTTTTTAGTCTTCTGTTTTCATGCATCGAATAAACAAGAGGCTTAGTACAGGAAGATTCTTAAGTGAGAGACACGAACTGTACATTCTGGATATTTATTTTGGTTCCTTGCATGTGAACTTGAAAATGTGGCGCTAGCATAGGAATCAGGAAAGTGAATTTGGTAGGCCCAAAAAAAATAGAGCTCAAAAGCAGTCATAGTCTTACATGAAGGACTACGCACTCTTACGCTAATAGATGTTTATCATTTAAAAAAACACTATTTTCGCATATTTTGTTAACGGGTAAATAAGCCCTTTCTCAGCGAAGAATTTTATACCAATATGGATCTAACTCACCTTCGATAAGAACTGTTGCCAGTCAAGTTGCATAAGCGCCCTTCCAGCGTTGGAACATTTTTTTGCACTTGCAAATCCTTCGATAAACGCCTGGTGAATGGAATAATGTAGTAACCGTCAATGTTTGGCAGAAGCGAACACATCCTACTCTTTGGCAAGAAGCACAATTCGTTTTAGCATACTATACATTTATCATAGTCTTGCTTTATAGTACGAAAATATTCCAAGATCTTTGCCTCAAGAAACTGATCCATGACCTCTGAAATATCCTCAGGCTACCTAATGCATTAATAATTAATAGTATATCCATTATAGACGGTACGCGTTCTATTTCCAAACAGATCTCTACTCGTTTCTAGGTTTTTTTCTGATGACATTACATTCGGAAACATTTTTGTTTCAAAACAAGCTTACACCCCAAGTTGCAAGTTATACAATGGAGGATGCTAGAGTTTGCAAAGTATGCGTTTCTTGGATAGTTGCTATATTATTGCTACACGTTAATCTTAGTTCTATAATAGCGGTGAGTAGATAGCTTGAAGAATAACATTGAAATGAGTAAATAAGTTTCGAATCTACGGTACCAAATGATAGCAAGAGCCAAATTTACCTGTGAACAGAGTCTCAGCGTGACAATCCAAAAATGCTTGAGAACTTCTTTAGGGAGGTTACTATCCCAAAGAGTCTGCTCTAAGTTCGTGAGTTGTTGTAGCAGTAGGTCGACATAGGGGCTGTGTTGGGTTTGAATGTCCCTTAGATCCCAGTTGACACTGGACATTAGGTCAAGGATTTGAGGTAAATTTATAAATTTTGCTGGTACTGCTAGATAAACAGAGTGGTAGAGTTCGCGAGCGCAATCGGCATCTACAGTAAACTGGTCGAGTTTTTCTCGACTGTTTCCTGAAACATGTTGAGAACCACATATATCACCGTTTTCTCGTCTCTCCCGACCTTCGACTTGAGGAAGGAGTAGTTGCAGCTGTACGGAGAGAAACGTTAAGCTCTCGCAAGCTGCCACCCGTTTGCGAAGACTGAAGGTGTCCATGGCCCCGTCCTGCAATGGAGTTAAATCTGGCAGCTGTACTCGAAGCTCTTCAGAGCATGAACTTAATGATTCCTTTATTCGTTGAAGCACTCGTCGGCATGAAGGACTAACACTCCATGGGAAATTTTCAGCGCTCTCGCTTGCGAAGTAAGCTGACACTGTGTGAAGGTAGTATTCGAAGAGTTGAACTACAGAAGACAGGCCAAGCGCTGTCACTTTCTGACCTCCACCAAGAGCCGCCATCATATTTAGGTAGCGACCAAGAAGACGAAAAATAGTCAGCGACGTGTTCGTGATGGCATGCTTCGGAAATCGATGTTGCAATGATTTCTTCTCATCATCGTCTTCATCGTCTCCTCCTTCATCTTCAAATATCGAATTGTCTAAGTCGCTGGCAGAAGTAAAAAAAACGAACGTGTATGTAAAAGATACTTTATCTTTATCATATTCTCTAGTAGACTAGTTTTACGACGCCTTTGCCTGTTTTCTTAGTAAGCATCTTAATGGGCACAAACGAAATGACCTGGAATGCTACATCTACCGAAACAATTACACATAACAAAGCCTATTTATCGCTGGTCAATGAATATCATAGAAAAGTTCGTGATTGTATCTAATAAAGTATAACAGAGAGAAAACAATCCCTGCCTTGAGACGAATACTGGCTACCGTATTATTTACATGTTGGTTATAGTTCGAATTTAAAAATTTCCAGTGGAATAGGCAACTTAGACTTCTCTATGTTTTGAGGTTCACGTCCCGTATTGCCATTAGTCATTCCATAGACGGCTGGCTCCCAGCACGAAGCGAACCTCGAACCTAGACAACGCGCCCCTAAGATTAGCAGGGAAATACGTTACCCACCAAGCTATCACGGGGACAGGCAACCCAGACTTGTAGCATAGTAATCACTCCATACAAAGAATGAGTTCTCAGTAATAAAATAACACCTGCTGCACATTACGCGTATGGAGCATCATACGTACGTTTGTATTTGCATTCAACATTTATTCTGGAAAACAACGAACCTTGATTGTACAGCCACCTCGACGGCAAACGGGTCGGGTGCGTCGGGCGTAAATGATATCTCGTTTTCTGAGAGTGTCTTCAAAGGCGAGGATGAAGATGGCAGCATTTTTTCGCTCCTAGCGGCTTCTTGAGCAGCATGCAAGAAGCAAAATTCATGAAGATTATCCAGGGAAAATCCATCTCGCACTGGCATTAGCTCCCACGATTCGTGCTCCAGGTAAGTTTTTAAGGTTGCCAGACTTTGACCGTGATATGAGTGTAAATAACGCAGACACTGTTCCTCAGCGCTCGTCTCCAGGTCGCTACTGCATCCTGACTGTTCACAAAATAACTCACCCACTTCTACCATTACCTAAATAGATAAATAGGAAAAAAGAATGTACATTAATACCCTTCCTCTAGCCTAACAATATTTAATTGTACGTAATGTATTACTAGAAATTATTTATTGATAAATAACTACATTACAGCAGGAACTTCTTTCATAAAATGGTTCATCTCTATAGCATCATAAGCAATAAGACCGTTACAAGATCTAAAAATAAAAAACGCTTTAGCTCTTACGATAGATCGATAAATGTATATCGCGGGACACAATCAATCGCGGTACAATTTTTCGTGTAAAAGTATGTCGTCACCTTTGTAGTATTTATCACAGCGATGAATTTATCAAATTCTGTCGTAGCATGCCAACTGAAGGAGCTAAGGAGCAATTTGAATTTCTGCTGCATGTCCGACCAAAGCCTATGTAAACCATTCCGAAGCTTCTGACGGGCCAGACATTTCTCGCCCACTTTTTCCTAAAAGAAAAATTTATTGCAATGTTATATACGTTTTTCTATCATAAAGTTAAAATAGGTAAATTTGTCCGCCGCTGCACTAGTTGTTCGCTTAAAGCTAAATGATTCAGGTATAGCTCTCGTATTGTATTATATATGAGCATATGAGTTCTTACCTTTGAGGGACTACTGTGCGTAGAGGATGCCGGAGAACCCAGCATGTTGTTTGGTTCGGCGGGCTGCGATTTCAATGTACCCACGGGTGGATGATGCTCCGAGGAGCTTACAGGAACGTCGCTAGCATCACCTCCATTAGCCGCTTCCGGCTCACTCCTGTATGAATGAATGTAGCCAAACACTGCTTAAAGATATAGATATGTTTTCCTAAAGAATGGTTAAAAGTAATATAAGCATGAAAAAAGATCGTTGAATTTCTATAAAGTGATATGTAATTCTATCGAAATATAATGGTTGCTTCGCCGTGTTTATCTGTGCATATTAAATCATTGCAATCATTTTGTTAAGGTGTTAAAAACTGTATTTTTGTATTTGCTTCAACCGATATTTTGGTTGAAGTCTTCTTTGTTGGATGCAAATATTTGTCTAACTCGCTCTCAGTGGATTTGGAGAGCACGATCTCATAACCATGCAGAGTGTGGCACATACCTGTGGCTATGGGCGCTATCACTGTCATCTTCTTCATCCTTCACGCCTCGTTCGTGCCATTCAAGAACTTGTCGATAGCTCACCATTAGCCTAAAGAACGCTTGGGCCAGTTCTCGTAAGCATTCCGGATATCTTAGGAAAGTATCGAACTTATTTTCAGTTAAAACCTAAACTTCATGTCCACCGAGGCAGCTTAGCAAGTTGGATTCACAGCAAATTGCTATACGATAAACTGCCATTTCAATTAGTCTGTTGCGATTTTATCGGTAGCCTTCAATGCCAATTTGATATCTGCGCGTATGACAATTGTTTTTAGTCAAAAATAATATAAATGGTTACAAGAAAGTCCGGCTAACTTTGAATAACTTTTGAGCTACGCGTTGCTGGTAAACAAAATTTGAATGGTAAATACTCTAACGCTCTAGAAATTCGTGAGCGAGGACCGAGGCAATTCACTAGGGAAATAGTTCAAAAGGAAAAACGTCTTTTAGTCTCGAAAATTAAGGTTCCGAAATTAAGATTTTGTTCTCCGTGCGACTTCATGTCGCAGTAGAAACATATTGGTGACTAACGAAGACATTAGGCAAGGAGGCCTTGAACGAAAGCACAGTATGTGAACGATGTAAACATTTCAAGGACAAGGATTAGGGTTTTGAAGATAAGCAAGAAGGAAGCCAGATCTCGGGGCCCAAAAAAGAGGAACGCATTACCGTAATCAACGAGGCTTTTTACGAAAGCAGAGTTGGGGTCTAAAGGTTCTGTCGGCTAAAACTGGCCTTTCCTATGTAAAGAATCGTACTCCAAATACTTAAAAAGCTGAAACTAAGTAAAAAAAATGGGCCTCCCGTGAATGGATTTCAATGTGGGTTGAAAATGGGCATGGTGTATTTCATCTGTAATTTTAATTAACAGAATGCCTAGAGCGGTCACCATAAACGAGGAAGAATGGTTCATCCTCCACTCTCAGCCGAAAAGGGACCTGGCGAGAGAATGGCATCACCCAGGAGAAAAATCGAATTCGGTGACAGTGTCGACTAGGTTCAAACCTAAGGTTATGGTTGTACTTGGAAAGGACATCTGAGGTTTACTACTATGAAATACCCGTTGAAAATGAATGCAGCCCGTCATCGCCATTTTTCTAAAAGGCTCATGGACCGTTGGCATCGCAATACTCGATACTACTAGATGACAACGCTAGAACTTATTCCCATGCTTCAATAGCTTCCTGGATTGAACAAAGGAATATCTAATGTTGGCCACAGCCCTTTTATTCTAGTGATCTAAGTCAGTGTGATTGCAAGGCTTTCCATGTTCAAAAGAGGATAACTCTTGGTCAAGCATATCCCACTATCGATTTACTTCGAGAACTCGTAAATAGGGAAATTACATATGGGAATATGTATTTTCCCTATATATATATATATATATATATATATATATATATATAGGGCTCTTCAGAAGCTCCCAGAGCGCTGGGACAAGCGTGTAAAAAATAAGGAAAGCACCTTCAACAAATATGGGAAAATTATCATTCTTGCCGAGCCAGTTCAAAAGTTATTCAATTCCAAAGTCCTAATCTTATTAACCTTAACTTCACACGAATTGTATCAATCACATATGAAGACTACATATTCGAATGCGCTAGCTGGTTTAGTATCAGACATTATTGCAGCTACTGCTTAAAAAGATGTTCAACATCAATAACAACAGTCCGAACAAACGATTAGTTATGTTATTAGACAGAGCGCTTTAAAAATTACCTGACTGATCTGCTATTAAACTACATTCTTATGGCGGAAATGGCCATTTTATTTCTATTACTTCCGTATTTTGGTGAATATGGCCACAAGTGTGCTTAGATCTAATAGCCTAAATAATTAAAACCCAGATAGAAGGCGTTTTTCTGCATATCGATACTGACCTATCTTCGTTAACTGCTTGGCAAAGATCAGCGTACTGTTTTTTGCCAGGCTCCCCATGTTGCCCATGCTTTGCGACGGTAACCAGTGAAAGATTGTGGATAGTTAAGGTAAAGTGCATAAGGAGCTGATCAAGGATGTTGGGACCGCGGCCAAGAAGCGTCAACGCCGAAGTGAGCTTCGCATACGCCTGCGTCCAATAAAGTGAAAATTTTAGTACAAATACATATATATATAACTTCTGCGTCATATTGATAAAGTTAGTTTTATTAAATGCGTGTTAAGTAACGATAAGTAAGTTTGTAAGCTAGACACTGACCTCTTCATTGTAGTCCAAGCAGAGCTTTGAAAGAGCTACATCCAGTTGCTGCTCGGTCTTTTCAAGGGTACGGTCAAATTTTAGGGAGAGTTGTTTCATACAATCGAACTGCTGGTAGTCCTGTGAGCAAGAAAGGTGCGCATATTTAATGCCGCTTTATTGGTCTTGGCCCTCCCTTTATGTTATTAAAATACTGTCAGTTGTTTGGTCGGTTTGAAGGATCGCTTTAGAACGAATGAAGGGCAAAAAGTAAGCTTCTTTGAGGTTCTTAATGAATATAGATAACCACACTGCAATGTAACGTGTAACCACCTGCAATGCTTGACGACACTCCAGCAAAAGCTGTATAGCGGTGGGATATTCGCGCATTTCAAGGAGCTCATAGAGACGGATATCTGTTTGATGCAAAGTCTTGATCACTGACAGCTTTGACAGTGTATCCATTAAGAGGTTTCTTCGTCTGGCACATTGAAGAACTCTGAAGTGCGAATCCGATACACATTACCGTTATTGCTTAAGTTAATCGTTTTATGAGTCGAAAAATCAAGATCTAGGACTATCACGCAATAGAGTATAAAAGTACTACAGTCAAGAAGAGACCCCGGGTTCAGGATTATGCTTCTTTATTTTTCAAATTGAACTCACTAAGTATGGTCATTTATTTACTTTATTGGTTTGCTCGCCATTTTTCCTTCCAGACGTATCTACTGGTCTGAGAATTTTCAAGTATTATTAATTGAAAATAATTAACTCCTATGCGCTTATTATATTTTCGAATAATTCATAAACGCATCTAAGAGGTCCAGCGAAAACCTGTGTCCCTGTATAATGTTTGAAAGGTGACATAGACCGTCGTCGATCTTGGTAAGAAAAGAGATACGAGCTGAATACTTGAATTCTTTAAACATCTTCTATTAAACTAAACGCAGTTAGATTAAAAGGAAATAATTGAAATGCTCTTGAAAAGGATGTCGTAGGTTAACCAACCTGAGGTTTTCATCAGTAAAATCTGTCTGGGTGCGCCTGAGTGCTCTGCGCGCTTCCACGCACTGGGCTAGGCAGTCTGTTAGTCGAGACTGTAATGCCACAACATGGACGATCTCTGCAGAGTACTCCGACTGCTTTCCGACTATCAGTTGATACACCTACACAGCCCAATAAGAAAAAAGAGAAATTTTTTTTCCTTATAGTGTCGTGTTTGAGAAGTTCAATTAGGACTTGTTTATTGGAGAACGGAGCAGTAGGTAAACAAAATTAGCTTGACACTTAGACTTACCGTTTAGTTTACACCCAAGACAGCCTCTATTTCAACTATATACCTACTTCTGTACACATTAACGTTTTCTACACCAAATAGAAATATATAACACCGAATAAAACAACTTATAATAATGTTATTAGGTAACTGGTGCGCTCGATAAATGTGTTCCTTGACAGTGTTTCAAAAGGCATGCTCTTCTCGTAGTTATTTACAAGTTCCCCCAATAAGGAAGTAGTCCTTGAATGACCCATAGGTCGTGCAATAGAAAATTGTATTGCACGATTTGCGAGTAATTCATCTTGAATCAGTGCATAATTATTTATGATTTACCAGTTAGAACCTAGTAATCAATGTTTAATCAGTAATTGCGAATGGTGGCAACTAAGTTGTTAGAAAGAATAACCAGGATTTAGCACCCTACAACTTCTCACCTTGTTGGTAACGACAGCGAGCTGCTTCTCCAGTACTTGCCGATTAATGTTGACTAACTCAGGAGGTACACCATCGGCTAGTTTCTCCAGTTCAAACAGCGATGAGTCAAACTTCTCATCATAGTATCGAGGATCGATTGAGTCTAAGAGAGCTTCCTCTACGGCAGGGTCCTGAATTGTAAATGTAGGTCAATGTATATAAAAACCGTTACCTCTTTTAGACGTTTCATAAATGTTATACACAAATTGCTCTTTTGTGGCGCATCACGCTTAAATTTCAATTATCAGGATATTAGTCGAAATACAAAAAAATTGAATGATTACTTAATACCTTAAGCGCATGCTGGATCGGCACTCGCTGGGGCACGATAGTGTCCTCAAGAAAGGTTCCGCTCTCTAAATGATTCTTTGTTTCCGAATTTGGACTTCTCAGTTGTTGAACCTATTAGATAAGACATTTAAACACATCTCGCTCGACAATATTTAATTATATACATATATTCGAAATTAAACTGCTATCTTAGTTCATATGGATTATAACGTCGAAGTATACATATTAAGAGGCACACCGCTTTCCTTGCGGTAAAGTTTACGGTTTGCCTCTAGTTGTAACCTTTTCCTGAAGATCTTGAACGAAAGCAGATTTCTGTAGCGGTTTTACGGCATCCTTCAGTCTGCGGCTAAGGTCCATTTCAGGCTTCGACGACACCACCTGCCGGCATCACATTGTATGTATTGGCTCTGTCGTATTATTTTAGTTAATTTGCATGTAAAAACTTCAACGCGTACTATCTACGAACGTTTGCTTTCATCTCAATCTCACGGGCTCTTGTCGACATTCAAATGTGAGCCTTTACGTATCTGTACTTGCATTTGACGACCAAATTTAGCATTGAACATAGCAGCTAATTTCATTTATGTATTGATACTTAATGTTTTGTTTACACTTTTACTTATCAAGCATACATGAGTGATTGTTTTCTGGACGCCAAGAAATATGGACAAGAGCTCTACACGTTGCTTCAACGGCGAACAGCCAAGTCGGAAGTAACTAGATTGAATTCGTCCACAAAACAAACGCATGTGGAAATCCAAGAAGCAGTTGAACACATTTCCGGGTTATATAGATGAAAAATTATTGAAAATAATTGCCTACTTCAAGTTTACAAAGGAAATACAAAAAAAAAAAGAAAGTTTACAAAAAAAAAACACAACGTTGTATATTGATAACATATAGGCAACCCGCTTTTTGTACTGAAGTAACGAAAAATTAGTCAATGCTAGGTTACCTACGTAAGTGTGTACAATTGCGTGTCGTAGCTATACAATTAAATATAATTATACATCAGACACCAATAAAAATGCTTTAAGCTAGATTATATTTTACACATCCTTACGGGTACAATTGTTGAGTGGTGCTTAGTTTAGATAATGATAGTAATAGTTGGTTGACAATAAATGCTTTTTGACTTGTTTAAAGAGGCACAAAAAGCTATCGCTTTATTGTGTCTCTTTAAACAAGTCGTATCTTATTATCACATTCTTAGTTGGATCACGCTATTGCTCTAATAATTAGCACTAGTTTTATTTTGTATGTCTAATCTACCTAAATCGTTTTCTAAATAAGTTTTCTATTTGATCGATATTTTGGTCTTTGTTTAACTGTGTGCAACTTGGTCATTTTTTCGAAATGAATCTTTTTTTGCTAGTATAGATATTGAAGAGTGCACAATGTACGAGTTCTCACTACCGTTATTTTGTATAAATAAAGATCCTAGTTGGCACTGATAGCAAGCCGCAGTGGGTATTACTTTGTTACGCCATTGACACTGACCCTTAATAATTCAAGCTTATTGCCGTTTTTTTTATTGTATATTTTGAATCAGTGAGACACATGAAAGAGAGAACCAGAGATCTAAAAATTTTCAAAAACAGTAAGTGCTTGGAAGCTTTACTAGAATACGTCAAATCTGTATAGAACATGAGATTTGTATCCTTTAGTAACTGGTAAGTTTATGTAATGCTATCAAATATTCTTCATGCTTTTCTTACGAATAAAAATAGGTTTCTTTTAGAAGATTGTCTAATCTCTTAAATGCATTGTGTTAGAATTCAGTGAAATATTTCTCAAGGTATAAAACAAAAACTCAATATATTGAATATTATATATCTATAGGTATATATACGTATAATCTAGCCTACCCACAAGTGTCAAAACCAGCTGGCTAGAAACTCTTGAAACTCGGTGATCTGGTGCATGTCATCACTGCTAATTGACCGGTTGGCTACCAGCGATCGTTTCACATTCTCTGTAACCCAAACATCACTTTACTGTGTAGGACCCGATTGGGGTTAGCACGCACGTTGAAATCGAATTTAGCTGCGAACTCAAGTTGTCTGAAAAACAACCTCGTCGGATCACCCATCAAACTCGATCCGATTCGAGCACAACTTGATGTAGCGGTGTCCTGTATTTGGTTTTTCGTGCAGGCATATAAGGGGCGCACCATCGAGTGGTTTCGAAGTGAGGTGACTTGTCTTCGAAGGTACCAAAAGTTCGATTTATTATCTAAAAGGTAAGCATTCCTACACTTCTGTGAAGTACTGAGGAGGGAAGATTTCTATATGTAGATTATAACTAGCCGATCTTAGAAAGCACTTAGTTAACTTGATAACTGCCCAATGGTATCAACTGCTGATTTTAGACGTTCCCCGCGCTGTTTAACTATTAAAGTGCTCCTAATGGAACGAAGACTTCATGGTAATCGATAAGAAAACAACTGTTCGAACTTCTACCTTTACTTTCGAATAGCGCTAATTAAGTACAATTAAATAACACCAAAGTGGTCCATATAGTAAAGGCAACAATGAAGCTCGTATCTGATTCTTGTTTTTTGCTACTATGCAAACGGCAACATGGTTAGTGCCCCCTGTATTTTATTAGCATGAATTTTTAGCTATGAACGTGATTCCAAGCCGACTGGACCGCTCTAGGAGTCCGGATTTTATGAAGCAGTTCTCTGACCATATCTGAATTTCACAATGCTTACAAAGCTTTTGTGAAGCAGAACAAGCAATTTAATGTGTTGTTTGTGTCCATTAAGAGTGCCCAATTCGACTGTGTAAGCAATGGCTATTTATGATATTCATTTTATATCACTACAACATGAGAAGAAATTATCGTTAAGAAAAGCGGTATTAGGATTACTTATGGCCAATTAAGTAAACAAAATTTTATGGCTTATTTTTGAAATAGTTACGGTTTTTTTAGCCATAATGTACATTTAAAAATCAATTTCTAGACGTTGAAATGCACGGTATTTTAAAGAACACAGTATCGAAGTTAACCAAATTTCGGTTGCTACACGTATTCTTTGAATCGCAGAGCTGAATGATCCTAAGATCTAGACTATCCCTATGTGCTAATTTAAATTAATACCTTTTAGCTATGCATGTCTAATCACTATATCTGACATTGTGTAAAAGCGAAATTAACTGATGAGTTGGCACGTAAACAATACGTTGTGTCACCACCGTTCTTCTTACCACGGTTATTCTTATAGCTCTATGATTCATGTTTGGTTCCGATAGTTTGATTTTTGCCTACCTCGTTATTTTTTCTGAATCATCGTTAAGTTATTTGCTAAAGCTACGGAACTAGCCTTTTGAGTACGTTAAATTTGGATAATGGATTGTGGGCTTTTGCCATGACGACAGGAAGTTTCTTCACCAGAGCGTTTCAGAATCGACATGGGTGGCACTCCGTCAACGCGCCGAGTAACAGTTGTCAACAGCACGGACCCTGATGTCATCACAATTTCGGATGACGTTATTCAAAGACTTGACTCCGCCCTCAGGTCGCCCAGGGTTAGTAACTTCTGTTCTGAAGTTTTCATATCGCGCTTCTTCGGCCACCTAGCGTTCTGTTTTGTTGAAATTTAAAATTTATTAACCTGCTCTCAGTGGACCCAGTGTCTCAGTGTATCATGTAGCATTAATCACTAGCACATGATTAACAACATAGCAGAATATATCATAATATTTCTTTCTTAATGCAAACTGTATATACGGCTGATGGCAGGCTTTAGTCTTTACCTTTGGGACATTGAGGTATTCATACAATTTTCTTTATTAAAGTAAAGGAAAAAACTGAGACAATCGGTGCTTGCGAATCAAGCCCGTTTTTTTTTACGAAATTCATATATTTCATTCCGATTTTTGTAAGATTTTTTATAAATTTCAAATAAAATACATATTTCACAGTATAGACACGCCTACATGACCAAACAGATACGCCCTCCACTAATATACGTTTTATGTATATAAAAATATGCGAGGATATTTACGTTTGTTTATTTCGGTAAGATTAAGTATCAAAAAAATTCGAGAAGTCATTGAACATTTTCTATCAGTAGAATGCTTCATCTTAGGCTTCGCAGCCATACGTATAGCTTAATATACCTCCAAATAAACACACTATGTTACGTGTGCATTTCACTTAGGGTCCTGCTGCAACCTCTGGGGTCCCCGCTGGCATCGGTTACCCGTCCTACAGCGAAATGAGCGGTCGATCGCATCAAACAGAAATGGACAAGCTCGATCAAGAATGGAGACAGCGACTCGACGGGCTTGATCAGCAGAATCAACTGCTTTATAAATTAGCTACGAGTAAATTTACCGGTATGTTGATACTCCAATACCGCCTTTCCAATCTCTATCGAGGAGCGGTCTCTACATTAAGTGTGTACTACCACACGCAATCTTAGAATTGGTAAAAGTGCTGGAAACGTTGCTATCTCATAGAAATTACGTGTTACGCTTGCTTGCTTTTTTACAACCGCTCGCAGAAAAAAGAATAGCATCCGTACAGTATTTAAGGGCTGTTTTATCGATAAGTGGAGAATTTACCGCTCAGGTAGAGATCAAGGGCCGGAAGGAATTTTCACTACAGATAGATGTTTCTTTTCGTAGCAAGGCACTGTTTGTTGTATTCAGAAACTAAGTAACAATTGATACGACTTTAGGCATATTTACTGGGCTACAAACATCTATCGTATCCATAAACATTTCACTGTTGTCAACATTTTACAGCTGAGGTGGCTGACGTCCATCGAGAGTATGTGAGTGACTTTATGAAGCCAGTCTGTCAAAACACACAGAACGCAGTCCTCGAGTGCTATCAAAAGAATAGCAAGCAACCGCTACAATGTTCACGGGAGGTAGCTGCATTTCAAAATTGCGTCTCTGCTACGCGTCTGCACTTGTCGGCAAAATAGTACTAAGTTCAACATCAATCGAAGTGGTCCAGCTAAAGAAATTATAACAAACAAACCCATAACAAATAGGTAAATGCATGCGTGCTAAATAGACTCTATCGTGAACGACTATCTTCGAAGAGCATTATTGTCTGCCCGTCACAAAACAAGTTTGTTGTAAATCTATTAATTTCTATAATGTTATCGAAAAAGAAAAAGCAAATGTTGTTAGAATAGAGTGAAGTAATGGTACAACTATGAATTAGCTGGTACCCCGGTATGTTGATTGTCAAATGATGTGGTTCCTTTTTTGCAAATATTGTATCTCCATTAGTAACTGAAACCTAATTAATTGGAATGAGAGCGTATAAGCTACAACGAATTCTATGTAACTGAGAAATTGATGTAATGCGACGGCTGTATTATTACACTGTTATGATCATTTTTGAAGAATGAGCGAAGCAAATAAATTTGCAAACTGATTGAACATTAATAAATTCAGATGGATTCAATGTACAACCTATGACAGCAAGTTCGAAAGGAATAAAAGCCAAGGGTTGTTATAAAATAGGAAAAAGAAAGTTTTTTAATAGTAGCGTGTAGTGTTACCTAATATGACCTAAATGGATTCAAACTTTATTATTCGTTTACTAGGCATGGTATCAATCGAATCTATTAATCAGCTTTATATATATCATCGTCATCCATTACTAAGATCGTACTCAAGATTAGGGACGCCACGCATCTTCGAAAATTTCTTTCTATTATATATTCTATTCACTAGACTGCATCTCTATTCACGCATGCACCCTATTACATCTTCGAGAAGACTCATTAACAACCGGTAAAAAGCTGAAACTGATCTGTTCTGATTTGTTTCACAATAGAAAATTTCTGCACTATCCGTCGTGTAACTGGTGTTATTGCTTTTCTTTGCATAAACAAAGGGAACAACAAAGCTAGCGGAAAGCTGTTTATACATCTATTGAAGTCACTTTATCCGTACGTTAGCCGTAACATCAAATTCCGTGCAAAAAAACATTGTATGATATATCTGAAATCTTTTCCATTGCTCAACCCTTGGTAAGTAGTATGTTTCAAAGATAATATTGGCATATTTTCTGTGTACTTGTGTACGCGATTCTCAGGTTCTAGTTTCCGCACGTGCAGAATCCTAGGCGCTCTCCATCGCTAACGTAGTGGAATAGCATCTGTTTTTATTTGTTAATAATTGATCATTTATTTTCGTTGAACAGCTCTGTGTTAAACCATATGTAAATAATAGTAGATATTTTCAAAGGGTACTTTACTCAAATCTTTCTTATCTGTTAGTTGTAACAGTAGCGTATGTACAAATGACGCACACTTTGTTGTACATGTTCTTATCATGTAGCGGTGCTTCGTCTGATGGAATGCAGGTACAGCGGCGCCAGATGCTGAACTTCAAATAGTAGTGATAGTAATAGATCATTATTCCCAATGGAATTATGTACATATGGTGTCATACTGAGTACTGTTGTCTTTGATAGCGAGGCTTCATAACATGTGCATTCAAAATATGTACTTCTCCACAAAAGGGTTACATTTATGCACATATCATACTAAGCGTCTTCGGATAGCGTGAATATGAAGTAAGCAAAACATAATAAGCCAATGCATGCAATATCTCATCAATTTCCGTTGTTATTTCGTGTCACATTCTGGATGACCGGAGAACTCGACCTCAATAAATATTGCTGTATCCTTACGGCTATCGACTTAAAAACTTACATGTAAACCTATTAATGTTTATCACAAACCCGACAGATTTTAACTAATCTAACTGCTTAATGTTTGCTAATTATTAGTGTAGGAGCATTTGGTCAGCTGCTACTGTGACTTTCAATACACGCCGGCCTATAGATTTTCTTCTAGCGATAGCTGTCCTTTTGGTTGACTTATTAGGTTGTGTTATTAGGTTGTGTTTCTGGATCATTTAAGTTACACGGCCGTTACTGCTGGAACGAATTACATTTCCTTGAAAATAGAGTTTTGTAAAATTCTATTATGTAAAAACATAGTTAATAACTATTTTCAGGTCCGGAAAAATGATGCGTCCTCTCGAGTCTGCGTTCAGCATGTGAATTTGCCATCTGACCTGGGCACAGTTAGCGATGCTTAACAAAATCTATAAATAGCAGGTTCCTTGTTTATTCCACAGTATTTAGACTATACGTTCGTTTTAGCAATATTGAATTATGTCAATTAGCCAATATCCGGTGGAAAAAATTTACTAACAGTAGTACATTGTACGCTATTGATTGCTAAGATACCACCACAGCAAGCTAACTTCTATAACGCTTGTGTATTTCGTTTTAACAACTTCCCTGCTCCAGTTCAGCTACTACGAAACGTAGATAAGATAATTATAAGAATGATGACGGCTATTACAACACCAAGGATGATCTGCATTTTCAAATTCCGCCACCACTGCTTCCGCTTGAGAGAAGTTGCCTGCTTTTCGAAAACCATAGCTCCTTCTTGAAGTTGTGTGGCCCGTTCGTCCAAATCGGAGAATTTCGCATCGCGCTCCATTACCTGCGACGACCATAAACAATACATGTTAAAATTATGATTTATCATTAATCTTCTCATAACTATTTAGATATACATGGTCGGATTACTCAAGAATAATGACAGGCCAGCTTGGTGTGTGACTTAGATCGCCTTTACCAAATGAAGATTGGCGTGAATCACACGCATCTTTGGATATATATATACACATATATCCAAAGATGTGTGTGATTTATGTATATATATATATATATTGAAGCTATATTTGACACTTAATTTGTTGGTATATTTTCACCTATTTTGAATCTCGGCACCATCTCCAAATCAATTTTTATTTATATTGAAACGCTTATCCAAATAGGTACCTAGCTGACAACACTGATAACAAATCGTAAGGGATAGAGCTTCTTCAGTTTACAATATCTGCCTACAGTGCAATCGTGTTTCAATCGTGTTGTATTTTAATATACGTAGTTTATTAGTCATTAGTCAACGAATTTCGAGTATGCTGTCATACAGTGTGCTTTTTGATTGAAGTCATTTAGATAATGGAATTTTTGGCTGACCTTCAAAGCAGCCATATGCCAATAGCGACAAGAACCAATGGACGTATTGATACAGACAGTCCAGGAAGTATTCCAGGAAGTCAAATCACAGAGTTACCTGTGGCAACGGTTTCTAACATAAAATCTCAATACTGCACGAACCCATCTGCCAATGCAAGGTACGCCTACACATTTCTCGTATATATATATATATATATTGCTAAACAACGGTGCAAAATCATAGACATGCGATATTATTGCCGCGTGTAATTCCTTTGGGGATAGATAACTTACAAGTTGTATACAAGTTAAGGTTTCGGAGATGATGAAATGATAACGTGCGTATATACGAACCGTGATCGGCCACGCATCTAGATGATCTGATGAAAACAAAGCGAACGCTGCAAAAGACAGCTTACGGTACAATGTAATTAATCATACCGGTATGAATGGTTGACTACAAAGATTGAACAAGACCAAGCTGTGAGTGCTATTTTGAGGAATCGACACTGTTTCGTTTGGTGTTTTTGGGTTCTTTCTTCGCACAACTTATCGAACACAAGTAACTGCACACAAATGAAATTATTAGACTTTTGCTATAATAGAAGGGAGATGCGAAAGAGTAGAGACGTATTTTTATTATAGGTACTAATTGAAAATGTCTACTACTCAGATGATGTAGCTGAACCAGCTCTACGGTCCCATGTTCCTTAAAAATCACGTCTTAGACACTAGCAAGAAAGACTGATAGGCACTTTTTCAGACAATGAGATGTATTTTATTTTTGCCGTAGCTTTCCCAGCCTTTCTACCTTACCTTAATATGGTTTTCGTAAAAAATTGATTACGGCATTCCAGTAAGTTTGCGGAGCGAGTGTAAGGTAAACAGGTGGAAACTGGAAGTATAGTAACATAGCATTATTTCTGGAACTCGTTTATAAAACTACCGCTTAGTAGTACTGGCTGTTATTAAATTCCGACCGTCATTCGATATTGTGTGAGTGTTGCATGGTAATATTTTATTTGAGCTCTGCTAGGAGATTCCAATCAATGCCGCGCTAGGAGATGGCTCATTGTTTTAGGAAGTAAAATAGAATCGTCTATTCCACGCCAAACCTCGTACATGCAAAATACTCTGACCTTTTAACAATAGACCAATTGCCGCATCGGACCCTTCAGCCACTTCTATAATAACATTTCGGATGAGTCAGGCATGACAAGGCCACCGTTTTTAAATCTTTCACTTTTAATAACCAAATATTGCAAAAAAAAAAACAATTTTGATTTCAGTTCGCTCCATAAATTGCCAATTAAAACCAATACTGAAGCTCGTTTCTGATTTTACTTACTGACGCTTGTGTGCGCCTATTTTAGCACGTCCGTAGCTGTTGCCAATAAAATAACTAGAATAATAAGGCTATGGATGCATGCTTCATGACCTAATGTGCCAGTAAAATGGCTCCGCAAGAACGCGTCAGCCATTACTTTATATCCTGAAGGTAGTCACCGATCAGCAAACCAATCTATCAACATTACCTATCGAGAAAGCGGAAGACCAGTGGCATTGACGAGAGACAAATAATTTCACTACAATAAAATCTTGATTTATCGTAGCGATCCGAATTGCACCCGTCGGTATAAATATGCTCGTATTCCCATCTCGATTTTATTCGAGGTCGTGAGTGGGCAGAGGCATAGAACTCTGGCCAGCAATGATGACCACTGACGTTAAAATCAGCACGAATATTTAACAGTGCGGACGTTTATCGTATTCGACTTTTCCCATATGATAGCAGTCGTGGGTTCGCAGTCGCACAACCAGATTGGCCGTGCTCATCAAACGGAGAGCCAATGCAACCGTGACGAGGACAGCAAGTCATTATACAGTACGATGATGCTGCTTGAAATCAACGATACTCGCGCCTACAAGGGTCGGAAGAAACCGTCTTGTCTGCGGCATCGGATTTTCGAGCCTAAAAAAATCTAGGAAGCCTGACAAGGCTTTTTTTGAAGTTGTAATATAAAGAGGGATATTACAGACCTCGAACATTTACTTAGCATGAATAATCTAGCCTTGATTACGGTCGGTCGCCACTGGCTGATATCCAGTTGTCGCACTATTAGCCTTATAAATAATGGAATAACAGTGCGAAACATCAATGGCGTTGAAATGAACCGCAGTAGCCCGAATCAATGCACTCGAGGAATGAGTCATCATCGTCACAGATCACTTGACGGTGTCTCCGTAGTCGCTGAGCAGTTGATGATACGGAAGTACCCGCACTAAGTTGGGGGTTTAGTTCTCAGCGTTCACAGTTTAAATCTTCTATGGAAGAATATTAATACATTTCTAATTGATCGTGATTTTTTTTAGCAGTAGAAACGAATAATGCTACGGCTGCTGGCGTAGCGGTCTATGTCCATAGATGGCAACGAGTAAAATGACTTTTACTAACTTTCTAACAACATGCACAACCTACTGCTTTAAACTAGCTCGATTAGGTACCGTTTTGATAATTAATAAGATAATCGTTTTGCTAAGGTTCATAGAACTGGATTTTTTTGAGCTGTAAATAAACAAAGTGCCCATTGGGTTGTTTATTTGCATACATCTACAAGATTCATTATGGTCCACATACAGTAGCACGGTAAAATGTGCAATGCCGTCAAATTTATAGGGTAGACACCATTCGTTTACTCTCGGCGGCTATCGGTGTTTCAGTTTTCCTATTTCACGTACCCGTGTGACAATGCTCGACCAAGCAGCCAGCTTTCTCAACGCACAATCAAGATATATTCTTCCGTATAAGTTACATGGGCATATTCCCGTACTGTTTTTCTCAACGTGGTCGTTCGTACTCGTTACTCATCGTGGTACACTGGAAGCCGTTCGCAAATGATACCATCGTTCTTACACGAACGAAAACCGTAAAAACTTTTTCAGCTTCTTTAATATTGAATTTAATTTCAATGCGTTAATAGCAAGCTATGCAGGTTTCTCACACGACAAATTATGCTCAGGACTGCCATCGAACGCAGTAGGATATGCTTAGCCTCTTAGAAACGATTCTGTCGCTTCCTACTCGCCCCTTTACTGAGGAAAATTACATAAAGGCTTACAAAAACTACTTTTTATTTTGATCTTTGATAGATTTGTTTTGCTATGGTTTTTTTATCGGTAGCTAAGCTTTTAGGCCTAATATGTAGTCATTATCTTACGTACACCTCGTGTTTGTTCACCCACATCCGTATACAGTACTAAACGACTTTAATAAATCGTCCGTGTAAGGTAACAGTGGGGCACGATATACGTGAATCAGACACCTCGGACGATGCTTCGCTTCCTATTTGTGTTTTTCACACAGAATGTACTAGTGTTAAATCTGCATTTAAACGTAATAGTCAAAAAAGAACAATATTTTGCTTGACCCATATATCGCTTGCAATATATTGTTACTATAAGGGACACGAATTCGGCCCGCAGGGACGCAAACGGAATCCAAAGTGGAATACCCTACGCGTGTTCAATAATGGACTTTCTCTTTTTAAGCTAGCACAGATGAGGATCTGCCATCGTTATTTTGGCAAAAGTGAAAACTGCATGTTTGATATTTACATAAGTACATCGAAATATCTACGCTTGCAACAAATTCTCGTACAATAACTGAAACTATGTAAACGTGTTGGCATTGACGAGAATGATTATGCTTATTATCATCATAATTTACCAACAGCGTTCGTGAGGCAAATGTTTATCAACCATGTTTACTTAGTATTATGAACTCTACCAAGCCGTATGTACTATACTAATTATTATGCTACGAATGCACTTTTATCTACAACATACACAACTCACACACGGTACCGGCTTAACTTACGAGCCTTAAGTAACTTGAGGCCAGCTCGACACGTTCAGTGTCGCTGCGCATTGAATGTATTCCCAATTTTTCCTCATTAATCACCGCACACATGCGACAAAGAACCTATTCTCATAATATGCCGCTCCTCACATGATATCTACCAAGGGAAATAGTAGCCTAACCGTAATGTAGTGCCAATATGCTTAAATTGTCTAGCCTACGTTTTTCACGTACAAGCGAAGTTTAACGATTGAACAATTTCATTGTACCTTTTCGAGGTTATTTCGCATTATTCCGACGACATCGTTAACCTGTTCCTGTGTTTTCCGCAATTCATCAACTCCATCGCCTGTTCCTCCTGTGGCCATTTTTTATTGAATGATGCAACGTGAGGCTTCACAGATTTCTCCCTTCGCTCACTTCAGCACTGCATAATACTTGTCGCGAATTAAATTCTTAACTTCCGTACGTGAGCAATCTGCGAAGCCTTAGAGGCGCCGCTCAGACTGGTTAAGCAGCTAGCCAAATAAAGAACGACCGACTGAGGAGACATCCAACTAACCACCTCATGAAGGCGACCCTGCTGGTATGTTTCACGACGTTTCGTGTTAACAGACAGCCCAAGTCCGGAACGCTCACAAATGACACGAATCAAGCGATTTTACTTGTCGTCTTACGTTGTGTTACAAAAGCTTTGGCGCCTCGTAGACTTACACTAGCACGCAGCAGGACACAACAGCATTCACTGCTCCACCATCTGTGCTATACCACTGACCAGCTCGATACTTTCAATGTCGCTGCGCATTGACTACTACCGCCACCGCTGCTGCTGCTGCTGCTGCTGCTGCTGCTGCCGCTATTCTGTGGCAAGGGAACTCGTGAAATGGAACGATGTTTGAGAAGCAGTCCCCAGCTTCATGTCACCGCTCGATATGCTCTTGAAGCTGGCGACTCTTTTTTTTTTTCTACTCTTATTAACTACTGTTGTTACTGCCACAGTGTGCGCGTGCTGTTGAGGCTAACATTTTCAACATCTTAGCTGCTGTTGTCGGTGCTGTCATGCTGCTAGTTACTGCAGTGCCAGCAGCAGCAGCAGCAGCAGCAGCAGCAGCAGTAGCAGCAGCAGCAGCAGCAGCAGCAGCAGCAGCGATTTTTGCCCTTTTCGACGGCACAGATCGCGGAGTCGCTAGCAGCCGATCTATGGTGCGTCTGCTGCTGCTTTGCTGCCGTTTATCGGTTAACAGCAGCGAAATAGAGTGGTGGGCCGCGTCAGTAGAGCTGTCGGTGCCTGCCGACTTTGCCAGCTTAACCGACTACATGACGGTATTGTGATGCTGTGTGATGACGTCGCATCGTTCCATTGACGGATTCAGAAACAGAAGAAAGCACAGTGATGACTGTTGTCTATGAATTGGCTGCCTCCTACACCTACTATCTCTACGACTATATAATATGCGTAACAATAAACGCGAGAACAAAAATCGATCTTCTTCTTCGATCGTTGTAGCGCCGTATAGTTACGTATCCATGTCTGCGTTGCTGACCGGTATCACTCGTCGTGCTGACACAAGCGCGAGAAAGGGGCTATCTGGCATCAAAGGCGTACGACGGCTTCCGACCAATTAACGTTAGGTGTCGATAAATGTCTACTTTATTTCGGCTGAAACGCAATGCGTTCGCTAGATGTCGTTAAAATTTTTTTTTTGAGAGAGGTACAATTTTCAGCGTACGAAGTATAATTGTTACCCAAGTCGAAGTTATCGAGTTAATGGTGGTGAATTGTCATACACGTTCCGACGCCACAGATCAATCAAATTATCAGTTATTGCCGGTTAAGCGTTAGGCATAACTTAGAGTAAATGTTGCCAAACAGCAGGGTTGCCGTATATATATATACATCTTCAACTCGTTAAATTTTACCAAACAATAGTAAATCTTGGGTTGAAAAAAACGGCATTTTTAGCATCTTTGTAAACGCTTCTTTAACTGTTCTCCCAAGTAAAATGGTGTTAAATGAGCACCACGAAAGCAGTGGCGTATACGGCGATGACCTAGGAGAAGATAATGCCACCCGCAAGTGATTTGCTAGATTCAAAAATGTCAAATTTGGACCTAAAGGATGTACTCGTTTTTCGAGATCGACTAGGACCACTTTAGGAGCACGATAATTATCGAATGAGCCTTATACCTTTCAACTATTGGATCATCGACATAAGTAAAACAAATCATGTATTGCTGCTACGAAAATTTTCAGCATCGGCAAAAGGCGAAGTGAAACAATATTAAGATTTCTGTTATTTAGACAAACACAAAAAGTTCCAAAGAACATAAGCTCAAGACAAAATTTTCTGATTTGCACACAATGATTCATTCTCACTTAACCTGTCAGACAAATAAAGCTGTTTTAAACGACGAGTCGGTACGGCGTTTGGCCAATATAAGGCTAGGAAAAAAGACGAGCACCCCATTTATTACCCGATCACCTAATCGAAAATTGAACACGTTTGACTTTCAAAGCCAAAGTGTTGTGTTCGATTCCGCTGTGTGAAATGCTTGTTTTCTATATAATTAATCTTATTAATAGGTGACACGTAAAAGGATATGAATTTAATTGTTTTTGTGCTGGTGGCAACTGGTAGTTGACGAAGTAACAGGTTTATTGCTGTAATATCTAATTTTCCAGCTTATGCAAGTCCTATTGCAGATTCGTCCACATCACACTGCTCGAAATTTTTACAGTTTTATTGTTTTTCAATGCAGACCGACACAAACAACTACTCGTGAGATTGCGCGCTCACGTAAGTACCATGTCAGGCTCTCATTCTGTGCAGCGAAACAAATGGCCGAGTGGCCTATAAATAGCTGAGATTGAGCGGCCTATCTGTATTTGCGGTGACCGTAGCGAAGTTTGCTCTTTCCGTGCACACAAACTTCCAAATCAAGACCGCATTAGGAAAGCAACTGATGCTGAGAAAACAGGAATGACGCTGAAGTAGAACGCCTCGCTGGGATATGACAAAGACAAGCTGATGATCGTTGAGCGGTTGTATAACTGAGTGCTTCAGACGATTTGCGGATCTTAAATTCATTAAAATAAAAAACAAATTAAAGATGATCCAAAACATTATTTTCTACCCTACAATATACTTCGTTGGCATTCATTGGGCTTCTTGGATACAATCCAGAACCTTTACTGTTAGTTAAAAACAAATGTAATTAACACCTAACAGTGGTTCCTTTAGCGTAGGTTAATTTTATTCGACATTGTGGTTGATACTCAAAATTCTGTCCCGAACGATTCCATGGCAAAAAAACAAAATCACCAACTTGAAGAATATGTATTCATTAATTAATGCCCAATACTTTACTAGTAGAAAAAATGGTTTGGCTTTATAGCATCCTGAAGATGAAATGCATGCTAAAAGCTACTTACATATCTGTGTCGCTTACAGCGGGGTTTCCACAACTGTGAGGAATGAAGTCGTTTGTTGTTGAAGGTGTCATTTTGGACCATGAGTATGCGGACCACGTCACCTGGCAGAGAACAACTTTATGGGCCACAGAAATGCCCCGAGAAACATTTGATGATTGTTAGCCGTTTTAGATCTATGGAACTTGATTAAAAAAGAAAAATCTAGGTTTGTTGAAGTGCGCAGAAAATGGGCCGTCGCATTGTTATTGAACATCTCGCTTGGCACGAAACCACAAATAATGACAGATTCTTGCGCCGATCCGTTATGGATGACGAGAAGCGATAACTTTACGTCAACATGAAGCCGAGGAATTAACGCGTGGCTCTAAGAAATCGTCTGAACGCAGAGGTAAATCAGATCTCCACCTACCAAAGGTCATGCCAGTCCGATTTATTGTGGTGGAATTGGATGGGTCTCACATGCTAGAAAATGCTTGAGAAGAACCAGACGACCAACAACAATGCGCTGTTTAAATAAAGCTATGCAACAGAAAAAGGTCTGGAATGCAAGGCGAACTCACCACAACTATGCCAGGACCCATCCTGGTCGTTCAAGCCGCTGCCGCGAGTTTTGTAGGAGGTTCCATGGCACCTACCATATTCTCCAGACGGCGCGTCGACGGATTATCAACTTTCCGATCACTGGCGAAGACTCGCTAAGTGAGTTCGTCAACGCTAAACTTGAAAATTTCTGGCAAGATGGAATAAGTTAGTCGAGAGGTGAAGAAAGGTCGCAGAGTGTGACGGCGGACACATACGACCGTTATCAGATTAAAAAAAAACAAGCAATATTTTCAGAACAACCTATTAATTATAGCTATAGTTTGCCCAAAACTCCCTAATTAACTACACTCTCCAGAAGTAGAATATTTAGCCTGCATTTTAACGACTGCTACTTCATCTCGTCAGCGGTACATTAATAGCAATAAGCCAATTAATGTAAAGCAAATTCTTTATTGTTTCCAATATCTAGCCCGGTATTCGGTATGATGTAAACAGAGACATCGTTTGTACCGTATGATATAGGCAGGGACATAGCAATTGTCTATCGACTCGAATTTCTACTTCGTTGGCATCTCAAAGATGCCACCATAGATATCCCATGGACGAAGCAGTCTCAACTCGGTAGAAGCTTTACTGTCATTTGCACGGTCCTACGCCATTTCTTTTCTAGGAATTAAAAGTTATCAGCGTCAACACTCGTGCAATGGCCAGTCATGCCTGTGGCACGGTGTACAGTCAGTCACCTGTTCGCATTCATTTTGGAATAAATCGACGAATAAAGGCATATTATAGGCTTAGATATAGATGTGAGCAGTAAGTAAACCGCAGAACTAATTATTTCCTTTTGTTGCGTGGGGCAGGGGGGATGTTGAGTCGTTGAAAATTTTCACACCGAGCACGATTCGACAACGATCCGATCAGAAATGACGATCAGCGATGCAGGCCAGAGCTCTCGAGAGTTCATTAATGTTCGGCAGTTGAAATTACCTCTTGCGCAGGCCAGTGCAGCGCCGGTAGGACTCCCGTCCTCTGTGGACGACTGTTATAGTGATGATTAGTTCACCTAGTTTGATTCCGAACAAGAAACCTCCTAGAACTGCTGGATTAGAGTTGCATCTTTAGACCGTTCTCATTGTTTGGCTAGTTAAGCTTTCATGTTCTATATGCCGCTTCATAGGCCTAAACAAGACAGCCACTGAATAAAACCAGCGAAACAACGTCGGCTAGCCTCCTGGAATACTATAGCGAAGATGTGATACTGAGAAAGGATACCTAGGAAATAATCAAAACACCCTCGTATTATTAAAAAGGTCTTCACATTTTTACAGGGTTTATACCCACGTCATTACTGTAGAAAAACATGGTACCATATGGAATGTCTAATGCTTATATAGTACATAGATTTTCATTGATATGGCCGGGTTACGATCGAGCACAGCATATAAGGGCCTTCAACTAAGATGTTCTCATTTGAACGCAGAAAATCATTCGGAACTTAGTGACAAGCGGCAACACAATGACTTCAGTGGCTTTTGTTGGCGTGTAATAATGGAATAAAGAAGCAGAAGCTGATCCGTAATCATGGTCGTGACAACGGCATCTTTTAAATAGACTCATTATCCTATACTGATATCAGCGCAGTGATATTTTACCCTAGTAGATTCGATATATACCCTAGTAGATAAATTCTATATTTTAAGAGAGAATTTTAAAAGGAGTCGAATACAGTTTATGATTTGCGCGTCACTTCAGATTGTCTAGTCAGTACGCTTTGGGAGCACACTTTTACACGTTTAACAATAGTTAATGTAATGAACCTCTAACGAACTATAATTATTTTTTTGTTATAATTTGCCAGAATACAATTATGTTGAACGTAAATTCTGAGATCTGGTGGTCTAATTTTAAAAATAATGGGTATACGAAGTCCCGGGCCTCCAGACCCAAAAGTCCTAAAGCCAATTCCGTATTCAGGTTTCAAGATCGTATATGAGGTACCATATAAAAAATATGTTGGCCACAACTAAGACTATGCTGCGATGAATCAATCTGTGCTGCATGACACTGCATGTCACAGAACGTGAGCTACTCCGTAGGATGGTCACACAAAATCCTCTCCAGAGCGTCTGTAATTCAAATCTGAATAGCACTCCGAAAATCTTCAGTGAAAGTCGAGTGACGATTACATCGAGTAGTTGGCGAAGTCTCTGCGGCGAGGTATCTAATTCGAAATTAGTTGTGGGATCCTTATCCATGATGTACACATGTGCTGAAACTGGTCAGAGGAACGTAGGGCTTACTGTTGGCTAGGTCCCACAAGCAATTTATTCAAGTGACTCTCCTGGGTCGATACGGGAGCTGAAAGGGGGGGGGATTGACATACGAATTCAACCGATTGGAGTCAGGAACGCTAGCGATTAATCTCTAAACTGGATGACCGCCTGAGTATAAGACTTGTTAATCCTCGAGTTGCAAAGGAACTCGAGGGATTCTAACTCTCACTTTAATTCCTTTCGTGTCGTAGCAAAGCTAGATTCAAAACGAACATTACTAACTGTCGATTGTCTAGCAGTGTTAAGTGGTTGACATTCGAAGAAGGATATTTCTTCAGCTAACTGAAAGCCAAGAAGAAACGTATCTGCAAAAATAACAGTACTTCGTTGCTGAATTTTTCTAGCATAAGTTGGACTTCTTTTTTTTTTTGGCAAGCCACAAGCGTAACGAAGGTCTTAGCTTATATATGAGTAACTATTATCTTCGCACATGTTCATTACTCAAATATTCCAACCGTAGTAAAAGGCGAAATTCATCGTTTCGCCGGAGCGATCGTCTGCAGCATCTGCAAAAAAGACACGCGTCTATTTTACCGTACGTCATATTTAATGCTATGTCGGGTTCAGATGCTCGTAGCTGGTTGCTTTTGCCATCGTCATAACGACATGGCAAAACAAGTATGCTAAAACTTCGTTACAGGAATAAGGGAAACACTCGAATATTGCTACGAAGCCAAGCTAGACTTCAGCAGTGTCGAAGTGGTGAAGGGATTCATGTGCAATATTCTGCTTAATGGATTGTGACAGATATTCGCGCACTCTTTAGAATCTTCATAACTAAACGTTAACTAACATTAGCATAGCGATAAAGAAGTGCGTTGCTTGAAATAGAATCAAGACATTTTTACAGACGATTTGTATATTGTTGAACGCTTAGGGCAGGAGTCAGGATAGCGTCGATACTCAGTCAAAGTTACCTAGTGACGAATTAAACGTTCTGCATGGTGATCTTCATTGGGATCAAACCTAACATTTTAATGGCATTGAATACCAAAATAATAATCCTTGTAGGTATTCACAAGCTATAACGCGTAGGGGAGTTTTAATAGATATCGCAGTGTTAACATGTCTGCTTTTTTTTTTTCTAATAGTATTGTCTACGCAATAGTCAGCATTAAGGTAAGCGTAACGTACCCTTTAGTTGCCCGAAATTCTTCTCAGGATAACAAGGAGTTCCAGTTGATTGCGTGATGTGATTGCGCGCGGTCGTGAAGTCAGCCGTAGAGCAAACTATTACGCGTTTTTTTGATCATCTAAAGAGTCCCTGGGTGGTTCAAGCAAGCTTATAACATTGATTAGAAGATTGTTATAAGCAAACGAATATTGAGTTTCGAAAACATCGTATCTATAAAACACCTTTCTTTGGTATTGTGCCAATTACTCAAGCTTCGCGCCAGAGCTAGTTAGCCTAGTTACGAAAGAACAAAAATAGTAATACGCTGCTAAGTTTTCTGACTTACTTAGCAGATATATCTAATTAGAAGTAGTTATAGCTCTTTCTATGATCTTCGTCTGTTTCGGTCACATTCAGAATGGCTAATGTCACTTCTGCTGATAAGCTCAAGGGCCTAGGAATTAAGCTCGCTTCCTACTGACTCATGTTTATCATCTATAGATTTGAATTATGCCTATACTAGGTCGGTTTTGGGTCAATTTAGAATCCCAATAACCACTTTCACTTAACTGGGATATTAATTCCATATGGGCCGTTATAGAAATTCCTTACCACAATTCAACACACATTATTGATGGTAACGGAGCGTTCTCATACTTCTCGAGCCTGCGAAAGCACTTACTCCTATAATATTTGCTACTGACTTTTAAGACACTGATCAACAAGATGGATTCGAGTCAGTACCTCTAATAGTATCTCTTTGCCCCTTATCAATGGGCAAAGGTTTTTGCAATCGACGCAACGAAACGCCACTGTTAGACAAAAAATATTCGACCTTCTAGCGTTAGGTAGGCAAGAACAAGGGTGGCGTTACGATCTACGCTCGTTCTGACAACCGGCGTTTTACCTCAAAGCCGGCGGGGACGGCGACAGACGAATCGCGTCAAGCGCCGATGGGCTCAGTTGGAGTCAATAACAACAACAACAGCAGCAGCAGCAGCTACCGTTTTAAATTAGAGCTTGAGGTATTTGCTACGTCTCACAAACCTATCCAAATTTGCTGCCGCGAATTCGAAAAGATGCGAGGGAATGACTAGTGTGATGACACAGGCAATTTTGTTCCATAAAAATCTAAAAATTAATTTATATCTACGCGTAGACTTTGTACTTTGCTCTGCCTGATTAAGGGCTAGTGCAATGCTAGTGCAGCTCAAATATGTCCCAGGACGCATCAAAAGCACGCCCGAACTTTACATAGATATAAAAACATATATAGAAAACATATATATAAAGTGGTTTAAAATATTTTTTACATTACTTGACCTTTCTATTTTATAGCGAACTTCTTCGATGAGATGACGCTTTTTTTCTAATGATGAAATTTTTAAATTGGCACGGATGATAAGCAATAGAAAATCAATGGTAAATACCTAAACGCGTATCGATCGTCAGTAGATAAAGATAAAAACCAGGCCTACTCGAGATTTTTTGCGTGAATGATATTTGTTTCTTTCGAAAAAAGCCCTTTAAAAGCTCCATCTCTCAGTTGCGAATCCGCTGCAGTTTAGAGGTGCAACGAATGGAGTTTTACACAAAATGGAGGTTTTTAAAGATAAAAAATGCACTTGCTTTTTGCCAAGACTTAGATTTAGAGTAAAATAGGGATACAGATTAGGTCAAAGTTTTTACGCTACGTTGCCTCGTATCGGTTCTAGTCTAGACACACAATAAAACGTGTGTCATAGCGAAGACGTTTATTGTGCAAATCCTAATTATGCGAGATCGATAAACTTTCATGGTCCTCAGAGTACCGTTGAAGATGGCCTAGCGGTGAAATGACCAGCTGCCGAACCGGTTTATACGTCGTGTGTTGCTAAAGACCAACCTTGGAGGTTCGATTGCTCATAGCGAGACAATGTAAATAACTTCAAATAAGCTTGATAGATGACAAGGAATACCTTTATTACATGTCCTACGTAAAGCATATTATTTAAATAGATTCTAAATATAGCCGAGCGCTAACAAATGAGGCATTGACTACGAGTGATCTGGTGATGTTTTCGAGGAACGTGTTGTAGAGAATCGAAGTTCCATTGTTCATTGGCGAACTGATTTTCTCGTTAACCTTCATTAACTAAGCGTTCTGTATATTTTGTGATCATAACAAGAGCCAAGTCAAGACTGTCTAAGAGTCAGAGATTGAGCTTTCTTAGGAAACGCTACTGTGCTACGAGTGCCCTTGTGAAGTCCGTGATGTCCATTGGAAAAGCTGTTTAGCATTTGGCTGTTCGTTAACGTTTCATGGGGAGTGTCACCTCAGAGAATAAGCAAAGCATTTATAAGACTTTTAATAGCAGTTCATTGAACTCGTTTAAAGCTAGGATTAATTAGGGATAGTTTAATAAGGCGTGCCCATGTGGAGCTCAATCCTTTCAGGATCATTGATGGATATTAAATAAAAATATTTATGGATATATATGGGGTGGGGCATCTAAACCGGGTCGAGCTTTGCCAGGCTTTTTGTCTTCTGCAATTTTGAGAATTAGCAGAAAGTCAGTTGTTTCTAGAATCAAATATTAAACTCACTGTAACAGAGAGCAGTGCTTTGCAATCTAAGCGAAGACTAGCTGTTATCTTTAGATCCAGATTGGAAGCTATGATGACGGTAAATAGTGGTTTTATTGGACAAACATAACCGCCAAGAATGATACCTTTTGGCACATGTAAAACACTTCGTTAAGATGTTTTTGGTTATGTACGGGCTTACAAACAGCTCATGAAAAACATTTCGCTTTAAATATCCTGCCCTGTACATCTACGCGATACGTCCACTGCAATTAAAATCATAAGACACACAATATTGAGCATCTGGACATGACTACAATTTTTGGCTTAATTTGCATTTAGAGACAAACGACTTCATCAGTTCCCTGCTGTTAGGTTTCACGAGGTACCTCGCCACTACCATATAGGTTTATAGCTTAGAATAACATCCTTGAAAACAGAAAATTGAGTAAGTTTATTTCACTGAATAAGAATATCGTGGGCAGTACAACAAATCCGAGCTGCCTAGGTATCTTACCAGAGATTTTTGGACTGTATGACGCATGTATTACATATAATATGTTTTCCATTTCACTTAGCTGATTATAAAATGTGTGGATGAGCATATCTATTGAACAAAGACATAGTATTATTGAAAAAAATATCTCGAACGCAGACATGAATCTTTGCAAAATTGGAAAATTACAGGGTAAGGTCTCTTCCGTCTAGAACCCTTTTTATTGGCCTACTGTGACAACTTTTCTAGAATCCTATTTCTAAGCTAAATGAAGTTGGGAAAATAATGAAAATGATGCATGGAATGACTAATGAAAAGTGAACACAGGATTAACAGTTTTACATATTTAGATGTTCGGTGTTTCGATGTACAAATGTATACGCAAACTTTTGAATTGTTCCTTTGTTACAAATGTTTCTGTTGCTATAAAAAAAAAAAATAAATAAACAAAAGAACGTTCCTGCAATTACAGGACCTAGTTCGCGTGCTAGCGAGTGATCGAACGTGCACTATCGGTAGGCCTAGAAGAAGTACGCAGCCATAATATGTACATGTATATAGTAAATCGGCTGTACAAATCAAGTTCCTTCAACAACGACTAGACACTATGTCGACCATTTGCATTTATAGAAAAAAAGGGGCAGAATTCACTTTTGATCATGATTATGATTTTAAATTTGGATAAAAATAAAATAGGATTTGGGTAAGATGAAAGTTGACAATTTTTATCGTACAATTGTCCATAGCTGAGATTGTCCGCTAATAAAAACTACTATGTTATCACACGAATCCAACTTCTAGTTGAAAGCTTGTATCACACTCGCCTAGGAGGCTGGGTTTTCCGTATCGATTGGTGTTTTCTGAAAGATCTGTTTACGGCCACATTTGATTAAAATGCGTGTCATTGCTTTCATACAAGCCGTACTCTTGAATTTTTTTTAATTGAAGTTTTTACGTTAACGTTTTCCTGTCTTTGCTTGACGCTGGTTGTGGTCCATGCACGCTTAGATGCAACATAGAAAGCCGGCCACACAGCTCTGTATTAGATTGCTTCTACTGGGCTTTTCATGTGTCGGCTACTGCTTTACTATTTAGGAATGACATAGATTCGCCTAAAGAAAGCTTTGCCGTAAGAATTATGACATATTCATTAGTTTTATCTTAGCTCTCTTCTACGAACACAGGCCGCTTTTACCGCTGTGAGGAGTGGTGATCAAGCTTCGCGTGAACCACAATTCCTCTGTGTTTTCAGTAAAACTCTACGGAAGGTCGTGCCAGACAAAAGGTACATAAGTAGCCAACTTGTGCCACGTCGACCAACTGCTTCGCAGCGCAAATATTTGCCCCTTGTCGAATATTTAGGCCGAAGGGCGAACTTAACAGGTCACATTTCTACATTGTTAACGTCTTGTAATGCGGAAATAGAGCGGGCATTGTTTCTCTCTCTGTCTTGTGTCACAGTGAGGTTTTTTATTGGTGTTATTGAACAGCGCAACAAATTACAATATTATATTGCATTTCCATGTTTCATTATAGCTTCCGTTAGTCGAGATTAGTGGTATACGGTGTTGCAAGGAGAAGCCTGCTGTAGGGAGCTAGGTTTAGTTTGGAGGAAATGGAGGCCCTCAACGTGGAGAGGGCGTTGATGGAGGAAGGGAGCTGCGGACTGGTAAATTCCAACGCTAAATCCCAGCTCCATGAACCCCCACGGCTGCAACTACAACAAGCAATACACGGCCACCCCCTCCAGGGCTACACAAGGCAGACAAAGTAGTCTGCATGAACCACATAGCATCTAAAGGCTGCTTCTGCTTTATCAATTGTGTGTTGCAGTGTTACCAGTGCGAAGCAAAGTATTGTCCTGGGCGACGTGCCAACTTGTGCTCGGGACAAATTCAGGACGCGTCTCGTCAGTGCTTTGAAGTACAGTGCAGTTGTCGTGAGACTGAAGTCCAAACAAAGGTGAAGCATCACGGCAATAGACCAGTGTAGCAGCCTACCTTAGCAGCCTGCAGCTCACTGAGGTAAGTGGGTCAGTGCACGTTCCGTTCGTATGGATGGGTCACGTGTTTTCATAGAAATGCTGGGAGAAATAGGGCTACCTTGACCAGCCGTCTGCGTATAATCATTGCCCTTGTCCGTTCGTCGGTGCCCATCGGTTGGCTCGAAAAGGACGGTGGGAACAAAGGGATCACCGGCATAGGAAAGCAAACGATGCAGCGGAGCCCTGTAGCAGATACCAACCAGTTTGGCCCTCTACGCCTTATTTGACGTTCGAATTCTACCGTAACAGCCTTTGTCTATCCATTACAAGATTGGACCTTGTGCAATACGAGCATGATTAGTAGTGAAATTTAACGTCACGAAGTACTCTGCGCAGTAGAATAGCTTTTATCACTGATGAATCAATGGCGCGCCACTCGGCTATACTAAGCACAAGAACGAATCTTCGGTGCGGTGTATCCATTGCAATAAATAGGCCGTACGAATAGCTCAGATAACGTATTGCGTAGAGATTGTATATTTGAGCTTGGTGGATACGGTCAAAGGTATATTACTCGTTATATATCGTGCGTGTTATTTCGCTTTCAGTTCATGTAGCGAGGCAATGTTTAGGGCTGTACGTTCTTTTAAGAACGAAACCATATAATTAAAATATGTTATAGGACCGCTCGGGGTACGGTTATAACTCTGTTTGTCAAAATTAAAAACTCTATGCTAATTACATGTATCCTTTTAATTTTAGGATTGATGTGATTCGCCCGGTAAGCTCATATTTAGCAACTCAAGTGATGTGTACCGCCCATGAATTGCTCGATAGAGAAATCAATAACATGCCTTCATTTTCGGATCTACGCTTACATGTACTGGTTAGGCTGTTCGAAAACGACATGACAATTCCCTAAGGGATCTTTATTCGATACCCGGAGAGCCTAAACCCACACTGCAGACCCAGCCTCACGATTTTTCTAACAGACAACAGCCGATCTGCGCCTGTCTATTTGTCAGATGTACAATTTCGTAACTTGTCCGACGCGGTCCTGTTATGCGTGAAATACTGATTAGACACTCTATATTGATACTTCGTTGTGGCTTCCGCCAGCGACTTGACAGAAAACAAGACCACATACCCAGATCAGCGCTCAATGGGTCATGTAGCCGATGTACTTCTCGTACTCAATAACTGGGGCATTTCAATTAAACCATGACAATACCCCATTAAACGGTGGTTACATTTGAGTGCGTTGTATTTGGCAGCAAAAGAAATATACAAAGCACTATTAAGGACTGGCACTGTTTCGTCAGATCTCATAGCGGAACTTGAAGCACTTCAATGACAATGACCTTTATAACTCGCTGCCTTAAAATTGTCCTATTGAGTTTTGGGCAAGGTTATCTCCGCTCTAATATAGTGCGCTAAAACAAAAAGTACTAAAAGGCGATTTGGATCTTATCAGACGCCAAAGTGGATCGGTCCTACCCGAAATTAGTTCAAGCGATATTCTGGGTGGTAAATTTTTGACCCAGCCAGAGTGCAATCTTCGACAGGGCATCACCCTTTAATTTTTTATAATGACAAATAGATAACTAGTAGCCTGCACGGATTGAGTGTCGTTCAAAGGGTCGATCGACCTCTACTGATTTTTCAAATAATTTCCTATAGAAATTTCATGTCCCAGCCACACTTTATCTTATCTGTTTAAACCTGTATAAATACTTATTGGCTTACGAGTACGATTGACGATTCAATTGTTATAGGCTTAGCACAATTACCTTAGAAGAGCTGTGAAGTATGGTGAGCAGGAGAAAAATTCCTATATAGAACAAAATATATTTACTACTGAAAGTTATGTAATTTTATACACAAGAGATTGCGTTCCGTATCTGAGGGCTTGAACGACCTAAAAAACCGGCTGGTGTAAAGCTACTTCTATAATCTGATCACACTTGACTGGGTTATTTCGGTAGTCGGCCCACCTCGACCGAATCATAATGGACCCATTCTCGATAGGGAAAAGGTATATATGCGCTCCTTGTGTTGACTGGCCTTAGCTTTTGAACAACGAATCTCTAGAAAGGTTACCAGATGGCACGAAGCAATGGATTGCGAGTGTGTAGATGAACAAGTACGGACTGCATTAAGCGGCCTATGCATCTTTACCTAAAAAAAATAAAAAGACTATATTAGTGTGTGGTACAGTGAGTGCAATGTTCAACAAAAGAACTTCCTATATAATAAATGTAGTATATATCGATCGAACACGTTTTCTACTTGACATACATTCGACATATTGGACGACACATTTATTCAGATCATTCATTTAGCGAGAAAAAAATGCAATAAATGTTTACATTGCCTACTCTCGAGCCCTTACAAAATGCCGAAGAAAGGAGTCTTCTCGGGTTGAAAAATACGTTTTATAGCTGCGGTTAGTAGTTATGTATTGGCTGCGAGTCTATTTGTTTTAAAGCGAATCAGACTCAGTATTTCTATATAACTAACATGACCGGGCTGAAATTTCCCGATAAACAAGCTCGGTAAGCTCTCAGAGAAATCGAGGCAGTGATTTAGTGTGGGGCCTTATAGATACGGTCATGGTTTTAGCAAGCACTTCGATATTTCGTTGCGGTATAGACCGACCATTCGAGGTGCTTATGTATAAAAAAAAGAGAAATTAATGAATTGAAATGTGTATATATATATATATATATATATATATATATACAGAATCTAAACTATGTGTCTAAACAGTGTAACGATGATGTTAGCCTATTGAGGATTCAACTAGGCCTTCCTCCAAAAAGGTTGGTATTTAAAGCAGCTGGGCCGGCTTAGACATGAATTATGATTCCCAATTGAACCTAACCTATTGTGAGATGGCTCGACAAAGACAGAATAAACTTATAAGAACAGACTTAATAGTGTGCTAAGTTCTGTGCTTTTCAATAAAAAAGGATCTTCACTCGCCCGTCTGCACAGGAACTTTGGTCACTGCAAATATCCTTCGAGTTAAGCTCAGAGAAAGGTCGTACTATAACTGGCAATACGACGTTTCTTTGTTAACAAATAACAGCCAGTATTTTCCAAGAGGCAGAATTCCCTCAGCATCCATCGAGCGGTTAAGCGTTTATCGCCGGCTTTACTGTGAGAGCTAATTCAAATCTCGACATCTATGGATATTTCGAATAAGACGGTTTTTTGTTCGCAGCCATTTTGAATGGGGTAACAGTAAACGTTCAGGTCATGAGCTGGTCTTTGAGACTGTAATCTGTTTAAGAATTCATATGCTCCTGGCATGGAGGGAATATCATTCCTTTTAATCATAAAGCTGACCTACGATAGCAGTGAAAACTATTGATTTTCATACCTAATTGCCGAGGGATTTGTCGTTAAGAATTCAAGTTACCGAAATATAATTACTGATCTAATATGATGGAATAAAACTTCATGGTTATTTATGATATTACGTATAAGTTCATTATAGTATATTTGAGGTCAGCTTACGTAAAGCATTTCGTATAAAGACATTGTAAACTATACATTTACTGTAATTGGCTGTTAGTGTATATAAAGGTTCGTAATTATCAATCCGAGTTGATTTTTCTACGCTGCTCCATACCCATAACATGAAATGATCTGAATTAATGATCTGGTACATTTTTATAGCAGTTGAACGTGTAGGGTCGACCCCAGCATTGTCTTGAACATTAAAAAGATTTCTGCTAAATTACTAACTTAGATAACTTGGGATACAAGTATCGCTCTCAACCTTTTTAAAAACACATTTTTTTTTTATATAATTTAATTTTTTCAAATTTAGTAGACGATACAATAGTTAGCGGAAAATTCATTAGATAGACAAACAGAACCTGGTCTTGCCTTTCGTATTTGAATGTCTACGGGTTGTTGAAATCGTTTCAATTCCAAAGGATACATGCGTTCATGTGTCTAGAAAACTTACGCATAACGCTTCTAGTGATATAAACTAATTACATAACTCGCTCGCTAAGTATCTACCTGAGGGCAGAAAAAGGGAATGAGTGTAAACTCCTCGAAAATAGTTGTCAGCAAGTTCCGCCAAAATATATACTATGAAAAGCAAATCAACTAAGTAACTTGCAAGGTTATGATAGAATTCGTCGAAAAGCAAAGAGTACGCTCTGCGCCAGCCATCGCCTCTATAATAAACTTGAAGAAGCCCCCATAGGTGGAACAAATCAAGATTTTATCTACAGTGACCCAATGGTGGTATTAGGCATTGGAAACAGAGCATAAAATAGAGCGCGCTAATAATCTACACGTTGCGAGCAGTTAAGGCAGGCGAGGAATACAAAGTTCGACCAGAAAATTAGAGCAGACGTGCCAGTTATCAGAATAAACAAAAAAACAGACGTTCTCATTTATGAAATGTACATCACCTACGAAAGAAGTACGATAATTGCTAGATATAATAGATATGATAGCGGAGGGTCGTAGGCTGGCTTTCTCAGTAATCTTGAAGAAAAACACCGCGCTAGCTTAATAAAATTATAGCAAAGCAATAATTTCGATAAAAACAATTATTACAGATTCTAGCATTATAGCGTACTGGTCGTGTCTTACTTAATATAATGACGTACGTCGTAATGAGAACGATTCGATATTGCCTCTAGATCGAGTAAGTTCAATGCACGGGAAGGCGTAAACTTCAACTTACGGATAGAGAATGCTGTAGACTTCAGCCATTAAAAGTAAAGCGAATCGATAAATCAGGAAAGCGTCAAGGATGATGAATACTTCAAACTTGGATTAGATTTCAAAAAGACATGGAAAATCAGCAAAGAGAGCCAGAACGCGGAAAGCATAGTACTGTAGAAGCTGTAATCGATTTTTCTTTGTTGTCGTAGAGGTCGGAACATCTCATCGCAGCTAATCCTTGCGTCACAATAGGAATAATTTCGAAAATACACGTGATGCTGGCAGTCGGTGGGTAAACATATCCCGGTCAGGCTCAAATGAGGCAACGCAAATCTGACATTAGAA